ACATCTACGCATACGATCTAGTTTCGAAGTATAAATCAGCCTTAAGAACCAAAAAGCATGTTAAATTTCCCTCTGTTGAGCCAGGATGCGTGTTAAATTGACCTCCCAGGAGAGATAATGTGTGCTAAAGTGCTAACCTGACAACAGCCAGATGCATGTCTCGCTCCGCCCAGCTCCACTCACATACATCTGGGAACCCGCTCATTGAAAGTGATTTCCCCAACCGAATTTATGGTCTGTCCAATCAGGACACAGGGCGGGTGTGTCCTGAAGTGGAGAAGCGACCGTGAGATTCCAACAACAATGGCGGCTCGCATCGAGGAAGCAAGCGTTAGCATTGATGCTGCTATTTCTTCTGTGTTGTCCAATCTATCTGATATTGTTTCATTAAAAGAACATCAGAGAACGGCTTTGAAGGCTTTTGTTGGTGGAAACGATGTTTTCGCCCTTCTCCCGACCGGATTTGGCAAGAGCTTGATCTACCAAATGGCTCCTCCTCTCACAACGTCACGGGTTAGCTTCGGTGTGAGTGGTTGAAATAGCACGTCAATAAAGATGACAGACAAGTGGCTTATCCAATCATATGCAAGGAGTTTTGATAAGGCCCAGCCTTCAGTAAAGGCAATTCCTATGGCGGGTTCCCAGATGTATGTGAGTGGAGCTACAGTAGGCGGAGCGAGACATGCATCTGGCTGTTGTCAGGTTACTAAAGTGCACCCTTGGGACCAGAATCTGTGATAAACTGTCCTCTAAGGTGCAGCCAACAATTGTACTAAAGTGTGCAAAAAAATGTTTCTAAGGAGCCAAAACTCATGTTAAATTTCACGGAAGCCTCAACACATGCTAAAGAGCCCTGTCAGAAGCCAAAAAATGTGTGTTAAATTGCCCTCTCTGGAGCTAAAAACACAAGCTAAAGTGCCCTCACTGTACCTAAAACATGTGCGAGAGTGCCCTCCTTTGAACCAAACCACCTGCTAAAGTGCCCTCTAGGGAGCTGGAAAGCATGTTAAATTGTACTCTCGGAATCCAAATCTTGTTGTCTTATGTGCCCTTTCCAACCCCTGCTTCTCAATAAGTCTGTGCACGGCACTGGTTAGAATCCTTTAAAAACGGGTTGTCTTCATATACAGGGAAAATGCTCAGAGCAGACAATATGGTCCCTATTCTGCAACCGTAATCAAAGATGGCTGTGCAAAATGGCATCTTCTTTTGGTTACATCGCCACCAAAGAATTAGAACAACTCCTATTAAACTATCAAAAATCTTTTTTTTAAAGGAATAGTACACCCAAAACATGATTAGCCTTCATTTTCTACTCACCCCCATGCTGAACAACACTCTGGAGTACTTTTTTGATATCTCAAATGCATCTGGAGATCTGGGAGGCTTCTTGCTGTCTGCTGACATTCAAATAATGGAGGTCTGTGGCGCCCGAGGCAGAAAGGTCCATAAAAGTCCACAAAAAACGTGTCAATATTCCTCCATACTGCTCGTCCAATGTATTCCAAGTGTCCTGAGTGGGTAGCGTCCATAATTTACTCGAAACGAAGTCATTTAGAATGTTTTTAGAGCATAAACAGTATTGTATAGGATTTCCTAAAAGCGCGTTCACGAGCCTACGGAAACCGCGGCAGACCAAACCAGACGAAAGTGCGCATTCTTCTACGCTTGCCGATAATGCAAGCGTAGAAGAAGAAATGTGCTGTTTACCTGTGCAAAGAAAGAAACAACGAAAGAAAAATGTCTGAGGACTTCAGTGTTGAGGAAGAGTATGAGTTCTTTGCCGAGCTGAATGCGCACTTTCGTCTGGTTTGGTCTGCCGCAGTTTCCGTAGACTCATGAACGCGCTTTTAGGAAATCCTATACACTACTGTTTATGCTCTAAAAACATTCTAAATGACTTTGTTTCGAGTAAATTATGGACGCTACCCACTCAGGACACTTGGAATACATTGGACGAGCAGTATGGAGGAATATTGACACGTTTTTTGTGGACTTTTATGGACCTTTCTGCCTCGGGCACCATAGACCTCCATTATTTGAATGGCAGCAGACAGCAAGAAGCCTCCCAGATCTCCAGATGCATTTGAGATATCAAAAAAGTACTCCAGAGTGTTGTTCAGCATGGGGGTGAGTAGAAAATGAAGGCTAATCATGTTTTGGGTGTACTATTCCTTTAAGTAATTGTTGTTTGACTTTGGCAGAAGGCAGAGAATGTATATATATATAAGAGCAATACTAGATTTTTATTTATTTTTTTACTAATTAAATTACGCACTGTCCCATGTTAGAAAGAGTGGGTCAATCTAGCAGTGTCTGTGATTTTTATTTTTGATATAATTTTAGAGACTCCCCTTACTTACTCCAAAACTATCTGAAATAAGGTTTTTTATCCCTTGTATCTTTTTTTCAATTTCTATATGTTTGTCCATGTCAGCTGAGCTTAAAGTTGCTGATTTTAGCTTATGACATGCTTCAGCCTTGGACATTCCTCTGCATCTTTTGCAGTTTCCCTATTTTTCTCATTGAATTATTGATCAGTGTTTATCAGCAGTGTCACTTAATGAATCAGATTTATGCTTTTTTTGCAGCCAATTGGTGCAATCAGGATGATTCCTGATTTATTCTCCCAGGGATTCCCATCCCCTGTCAATCATTTACATTCATTTTTGTCAAGTCCTTGTGTCGAAATAATATTCTTGACAGCTTTATACACTCAAAGAATGGATTTCTTCAAAAAACACCCAATCTGGTTGGTTAAACCAATTTTGTTTAGAATAACCAATATATTGCTCAGAAATTGAGCAATATATTAGTAGTGTTGGATCAACCAATTTAATTGGTAAAAAAAAAAAACACCAATAAAAATAGTAAATGGTGGTTTAATGACCTGACTGTTTGTCCGTAGTTAAGATTAGTGTGTAATAGACGGACATAGATAACAATTACTGTGATGTTTACATGTACAGCACACAAATCTCTGTAATATTAAAACCTTTTTTGTAATATTAGTATTATATATCTCTAAACTCCGTCCCTCCCTATCCCTCCCTGCTGCAGAGAAGCTCGTCCACGCCTTCGTCTCCTCCAGGCTGGATTACTGCAACGCTCTCCTCGTCGGGATCTCTGGCAGGAGCCTTCAGAAGCTCCAGTATGTACAGAACAGCGCTGCCAGGGTCCTGATGAGGGTGAGGAAACACCAGCACATCACTCCCATCCTTCACACTTTACACTGGCTGCCCATTCACGCCCGTATAGAGTACAAGATTCTTCTGCACACCCATCACTGTGTGCACGGTGCGGCCCCCATGTATCTCACTGAACTGCTCACACCACACACCTCTTCCCGGACCCGGTCAGGCCAACAGCACCGTCTGGCCCCACCCAGGACACGGCTAAAAACAATGGGCGACAGGGCCTTCGAAGCTGCAGCTCCCCGTCTGTGGAATGCCCTCCCAGACCACCTTAGGGCCCCACAGACGGTGGATTGTTTTAAGAAAGGACTAAAAACTTTCCTTTTTAGAAATTCCTACAATTGTTGATTTTAGATTTTTTTTTTTTTAATAGGCTATGTATGCCTTTTAATGTATTGATTTTAATGACTGTCTTTTTACTCTGTTTTTAATGTTATGGTCTTTTAAACTTGTTTTGTAGCACTTTGAGATTTGAAATCAAATGTAAAGTGCATGATAAATAAAATTCATTATTATTATTATTAGTATCAACTGTAAGTAAACTCCAAAAAACATTAGTGGTTACAGTAGTGTTGGATGCAGGAGTTTAATCTGCAGCCAAATGGTTGGTGGTTCATGCCCTGGTCCTGGCTTTCAATGTCTTTACACTAATTCACCAATAGTTTGGTCAAACTGACTAATTTGTATTGGTTATCCCTTTTAACAATATAGAATAAACACAAAACCAGGATTGGTTTGTTGTTTTAACCAACAGACATCTTGGACACATGTTCGGCCAACCAGATCAGTAAAATTAAGCCAATGTTAGGTGGTATTGGCCAATCTTTTTAATGGTGTAGTTTCCTTGAGGAAGATATTTTATAATCCAAGAAATTTTTGCTCCATCTGAAAAAATAATGCATCTGTTTTTGGCATTTACTTAATCATTTTTAGTTACTTTAAAACGATTGCTTTATGTCATCCCATGCTAACATGAAAAAATGTGTTAAAGTAACTGAATATGACTAAGTAAATACTGACAATGGTTTAATTATTTGTTTTCAGCTTGGTCCTCCTTCTAGTCTGCATTTGGGTTCAGTTCAGTAAGTTTTAAAAACTTACATATCTCATACAAGAGAAATTAAAGTTATTTTCTGTGTTGTACAACGGAGTTGGAGTAAAGGGAGAATTCATGCATGCATAAGGAGAACAAACTATGTGCCCAATGCCAAACACCAAATGCCAGTGGTACCAGGACTGCAACAAGGCAACTCTTCAGCTCTAACTTGCAGCCACACTCAGCCACTAATCAGGCCTTGACCTTATCAAGCTTAAGGGGAGTTTAAACACTTTTTAAAATTATTTAGGTGAATGTAAGAATATGTTTGTGTATAAGAGAAGATTTTCAGCACATCCAAACTGCAAAATCCCTTAGATCAGCAAAAGAAAAAAAATGTTTAACATTCCTTAATCCCTCAACCCTGCAGAAAAAGATCTGTTTATATTTTGAGGACCTATTTGATACATTACACTACAATGTTAATATTCATTTTTGTATCTTCTTGGGAACCTAGGTTGTTATCATAAACCTTTTGATTAATCAAGACCATATTGTTTTCCTTTAATCTAAATTGTGCAAAAGGTCAAAGCTTTGTTCTCACTCCACATTTACAGCCAGAAAGCAATCCAGAAGGGATTACACAAACCGTCCCTTTCCCTCTCAGTGCCTCTCTTTCCCTCTCTCCATGTGCTCAACTCAGTACTGCTGACTGTGTTGGACTCCGGAGCGTCTGTCCGACCTGACGCACTCTTGTACCATAGCGCAGCTGTCACTATTACTTCATGCTCATTGGCCCAATACCGAGAGAGGCAGAGGCTGAGCGAAGGCAAACAACGGGGGAGAGAGAAAGAGCCGGACCCCCGCGCTCTGCTCCATCGATCTGCAGAGGCGCACTGAGGATCCTCTATCTGCGCTGGGCACGGATTTCTCTCTTTCCTTCATCTTCTGGAATGCCAAAGGTGGATCAGCTGTTTTGAACAGGATGCTGCTGGGCAATTTGGTATGTTAAGACTCTCCAAGTTTTGGGTTAGATTGCTGTACCTTAGCTCTCATTTGCATGTCCAAAGGTTTTCCTAGCTCCCCCCCTTACTCAACCCCCCTAAAAACAGAGATAGCGCTGTTGGAGAATTGACATATCGACCTGCCAACTGAGAGAAGCGCTCTTTGCCTCTCATCAGCGCAAGACGCAACATTTTGAGGCTATGCCTCAACAGAAAGGCTAAATTATATAACTCTTCCTAGGATGAATTTAAATTATGGATCAGGGATGACTGGCTGATGTTGGCTGACTCAAGCTGAGATGTTTGACAGTGACGGATTGCCTCAGTGTTGCCCAATGCCAACAACTACAGAGATTTGTTTACCTGGGGGAGTAAAAGGTAAACACGAGCTGTAGGTTAATGGTTAGACTGTGCATTGACCTCGTTTCCATGTACCACAGGATTGATCAGAATGAGGAATTATCTGATACATAGACACTATTTTTTATTTATACAGTAATTATGACACTGTTAGATTTACATTTAAAGCAGTACTTCCAAAAGTCAAGGCCAAGAAGGCCAACAAGAGCTGGAGATACACTTCAGAAATCAAAACAGAAAAATTATAATTGGGAAGAATACTCATGCTGAGGATATCCAGAGGCAAATATTTGTGCTGTAAATGTTAGCTGGTATTTATGCATAAATAGTGTAACGACTAAATTAAAGTAATCTATGGATTGTAAAATTATATCTCTATATTAAAGAAATAGCTATTAAAATTATTAATAATATACTGGTTATGTCATGGTGGTCATTTCAGTGCTGCTTATAAGAAACTGTAGAATAAATAACTGGTGAACAGTAACTACAGTTTTCGTCCGGCATTATATTTATTTTGGAAGCTGAAAAAATATTAAAACCATTTATTTAGGGCAGGGCTTCACAAACGTATTGCAAGTGGCAGATCAGTAACTATCGCATTTTCCTACAGCAGCTTCTGTTCAAGAGAAGATAATGCAGTTTTACAGCTGAACTTGGACTTATCAGCTGAGCAAAAAACTTAGATAATCCAACAAATGTTTCTAATCTAAGCTGGAGCTCAGTGCAGCATACAGTAGGCTGGGAATGCTCAATGTTTTGCTGCTGCACTTCTGTTTCACTAATTCCTGTTTAAGACTAATGTTCTTGATCGATTTTCTTTGTTGCCTACTAGCCCTGGATCACTGTTAACTTGTTTTAACTTACTATTGGCATAATCATCCCTATTCAGTCTGAATACTACTTAAAGGAATACTACACCCAAAACATGATTAGCCTTCATTTTCTACTCACCCCCATGCTGAACAACACTGGAGTATTTTTTTGATATCTCAAATGCATCTGGAGATCTGGGAGGCTTCTTGCTGTCTGCTGACATTCAAATAATGGAGGTCTATGGTGCCCGAGGCAGAAAGGTCCATAAAAGTCCACAAAAAACGTGTCAATATTCCTCCATACTGCTCGTCCAATGTATTCCAAGTGTCCTGAGTGGGTAGCGTCCATAATTTACTCGAAACAAAGTCATTTAGAATGTTTTTAGAGCATAAACAGTAGTGTATAGGATTTCCTAAAAGCGCGTTCACGAGTCTACGGAAACCGCGGCAGACCAAACCAGATGAAAGTGCGCATTCAGCGTCTGCTCTGCCGATAATGCAAGCGTAGAAGAAGAAATGTGCTGTTTACCTGTGCAAAGAAAGAAACAACGAAAGAAAAATGTCTGAGGACTTCAGTGTTGAGGAACAGCATGAGTTCTTTGCCGAGCTGAATGCGCACTTTCGTCTGGTTTGGTCTGCCGCGGTTTCCGTAGACTCGTGAACGCGCTTTTAGGAAATCCTATACACTACTGTTTATGCTCTAAAAACATTCTAAATGACTTCGTTTCGAGTAAATTATGGACGCTACCCACTCAGGACACTTGGAATACATTGGACGAGCAGTATGGAGGAATATTGACACGTTTTTTGTGGACTTTTATGGACCTTTCTGCCTCGGGCGCCATAGACCTCCATTATTTGAATGTCAGCAGACAACAAAAAGCCTCCCAGATCTCCAGATGCATTTGAGATATGAAAAAAGTACTCCAGAGTGTTGTTCAGCATGGGGGTGAGTAGAAAATGAAGGCTAATCATGTTTTGGGTGTACTATTCCTTTAAAGCAGCCCGAATATAACCCGTCATTGTTGCATCACTGCTTGAGAACAATGGATTTAAAGAAAAGCAGTTGATGAAAACGGTTATGTTTTCAATAAAAGAAACTCTGCTGCCCAGTGGATTTTAGGCTGAAAACTCCTGGAGATGCATCTGTAATACATTTTTACAAGAAAATCGTTTCAAGCTGTGATTCTTTATGACTGGATCTGTAAATGGATCTGTGTTTTGGTGCCTGAACTGGCTGTTAATTGGGTTGAATGGCACTGCTAATGTTTTTTGGTTCTTGCTGATGAAGTTTTCCTGGCATGTTGCTATAGCTTGCTGACCTGATTTATGATTCTAATGCAGTGGGTTTGATTCTGATACTAATACTATTAGGTACCAAATAGTATTAGTATCAGAATCACAGTACCAACCTGTGTAAATCTGTGGAACCGTTACCTCAGTTGTGAACGATTTCTATGGTTGATTCCAACCCAAATCTTATTCTGTAAGGGAACAAACTCTGTCTTATAAATGATGATTCATATTTTTGAGTTTAAAGAGTATCTATAAAATACTAAGTATAAAGAGAATACTCACAAAGAGTATTGCTTTTTGTTAGATAATGAATGGTAATTTGCCTGTATGACTTCAGCATAGACTGCATTTTGAAGTTAGAGGACTTAAAAGTTCTTTACAACACATCCAGCAATTCAAGCCCTCATTTACACTCTGAAGCTGACAAGCTACACTAGCTAGCCAAAGCTGTCCAGGAGCCCAATGACAGAAGTAGTGCTGCTGTAGAAAGGCTCCCCTGGGACCACTGACCACCATCCTTAGGCAGTGTTTGGGAAGTATTATGCACAACACAACAACTGACTGACTGGGAAGTGGTTCGAAACAGATAAACCAATATATTGGTCTGCAGATCCTTTTGACAAATTTGCTTGATTATATAATATAATACATCTTTCTTCTTTGTTTAATGGAAACGTGTTTATTAAAAATTGCCTCATTTTCATCAATCAGCCCAAAAAAATCTGCAGCAGGAGTCAATAAGACTGATGTCAAAATAACTGGCATCGCCTAAAAAAGAACTGTACTTGGAAATCTCTAGATCAAACCGGTGACCCTCTGGTTGCAGTATGAACTTAAGCAACTTGCCTGCTGGTTTCAATTACTGATTATTATGTATAAAAAATGATAAACTATATTTTAATGCGAGTGGTTGCATTTGCAGCTTTTTAAAATGTGATTATTAAGTATTCTTGAACCAAAGTGGAAGTGTTTCAAAGTCACAATGGCAGGTGGAAGGAGGTAAGGAAAGGAAACTAGATGCTTCCTATACAGTAGATAGTAGTTTATTTAGCACAGGGACCTTGATAAATTCCTATTAGGGCCTTGAAGATACAGACACTTTTGCATGACGGGACACATAGGCAACACCTACCTCAAGTAAGTTAATAAAAATACATACTTTGTGTGACACATGCAGGTTTTTTAAACACGGTCTTAGGAACCCATTTTCCTGCATATTTTAGGTATTTCTTTGCCCCCCCACACACCTGACCTAAATAAATGTGATTAGGGTCCAAGGAATGAGTTTAAACAACACTGGTCAAGAGTTCCCATCCGACCAACAAAAGAGTTGTTACTGTTAACCCCATGAAGGATAAAGAAATGGAGGCTAGGAACAGGAGCTACAATCTTTGTCTGGTTGTTTTGTGCAAATTAGGATTTGCTTGAAATAAACAAATCAGCTTACTTGTTTTTCTATTTCAAGCATTTATGAAGCTGTTATATTTGTCGCAGGCTATATTATCTTTCTAAAAATGTACTTTCCTCTTTCTTCGACCACTTTTAGACGGTACTGCACCTACCATAGCAGACTTGGATCCCTTCATAAAAGCTATGGCTTTAAATTCTAGCTCTCAGAATTGTTCTCTATTATATTTATATTATGTCTAATATATTTTTTCTTTAACACAACATCTTTGATCAACAACAGGTAAAGAGTGATGAGATAATCTGTCTTTGACCTCATTTGCTGGAGGTCATCATGCTTTTCCATACAGGTTATGCTGCACCATAAAACAGAAAGTAGACCGAAGCAAATAATGGTTTGTGTTTTCTACAGATAGTGTTAGTATTCTCTCTTTTGGGAACGGACCTCAGCAGAGCTCACATATTTGAAGCCACACGATCTGGAGAAGGAGATAGCTCACCACCTTTTATGAAATGTAAGAACAATTTTTTTTTCTCTATCTCATTTGAATATACTTAAGTTAACTGATTTAATAAACCAAACTTTGTGTTTTACAATTCTACAAATAAGTTGATCTTACTAACCCTTCCTTTTTGAGCAAATGTTACTGGTTTATTCCAAATAGCCTATCTCATTGCTCAAGAAAAACAAAATTCAGAGTAAAAACAACAACAGTAATTCAAATTTATTTGATCCAATGGCACAAAATGAGAGTTTACATTGTACGCAGGACACAACTTTGCAGATTGCTTGGATGGCAGCCGTAATTTCTCATTATGGGTCTCTATGTCTCCAGTGGTATCAGTGTACGACAGCAAAGCGGGCTCATGTAAGGGGAGATGCTTTGAGCTGGAAGAAGCAGATCCTCCAGGATGCAGATGTGACAATCTGTGTAAAACTTACCTCAGCTGTTGCTCTGATTTCGATACTCACTGCCTAAAAACAGGTCAGTATTACACAGAATTACACCACTACACTCACTTCTCCTATTATTTGTCTCTAAGCCAGATAAATGTATCTCTTGATTAGTTACAACTACTGTATGGGCTGTGAATCTGTTGATCTACTGCTATATGCTATATCCAATCATTTCTGTGCTTTAGACTATGCCCAGATTGCAAAAACAATCTAGAAATAATGTCTTAAATTAGATTTATTTACCCTTAATTTGAGTAGATAAATAAGATGATCTGCTAATAGAATGAGTTTTTTTCTCTCTTAAAATAACTTATAAAGATAATATGCACTTGAAATAAGTCCATATTAATATTATTTTAAATTTACGTCTTGTTCCTTTGGCAAAGTTTCTCACTTACAGTCTTAACCCTTTATCGGGCAAGTTACCATATTTGAGCACTTCCGGAGACCTTCTAAATGACGTCACTGCGGCCTCGCGCATACTTGTGGAGTCACGTGATTTGGCCCAGCCAATCAGCAGGGACTAAGCTTGTTACGGTTCGCGCCATTGCGCCGTTCGACCAATCAGCGCGTGTCTGTGACGCGCGAAACGTCAGTGTTTTCCCGGGAGCAGGAAATCACCACTTCGCGGCTTGATTTCTCTAGCGTTTTCACTCGGCTCTCCAAAACTAACCATGGTAAGTTTATTAAACTTTCACATTACACGGTTGAGAAGTTGTACTAAATGATGACAGACATGTTTTTTTCGTGAGACTTTTGGAAATTGGCGAAATCATAGCATGAAAAACAGGGAGCACATATATGTGCATATGCCCAAAACAAGTAAAAACAGACCTGCATCAGTTTCGCCTACTTTAACTCATATGTTCTTTGTTTCTAAGCCACATTTTTGAGTTTCTGTTTACCAAACACGCATTATAACCAACAAATAATACATTAGAATCTTATCTGATGCTTTTAGAAGCTTTTATAATGATTTATTCACATATATATCTCACTTCTAAAGATTATATAGCTAAAAATGGTGAAAATAAGTGATTTTGGATGTTTTTGTATTATATTTTGTATCACTTAACTGTTATTTTATGTCTTAATAGTATTATTATTTATATTATTAATTGTTTATATTGAATAAGTGATATTATGACTAGTTTTAGTGCTTTTCAAGTATATGGCATATTATTATCCACATAATGACAGTAGCAGTAATAAAAATATACAATAATTATAATATTTTTCTGTTGCAGATTTCAACAAACATGTTTTATGGAAAGAGGAAGGCGGTTGTGATTGTTCCAGCCAACCCTGCCATCAGCGATGACGAAGAGGATGAGGAAGATGATGTGGAGGTCGATCCTGATTACATTCAATTTCAATTCAGTTTATTTATATAGCGCCAAATTCACAACACATGTCATCTCAAGGCACTTTACAGTTCAACCAGATCATACAGTCATTCCAGTCAGCCACAACCTGGACACTCCCACCACAAGTGAGATGAGTCCTCCTGCCAAGAGGAGACATGTGCAGCCTGCAGTGGAGGTGCTTCAGGATGGGGAAGATGAGGATGAAAATGAAGATCAAGATGAGCAGGTTATACCGCAAGCTAAGGGTCCCACTAAACCCAAACCCAGACCCACCACCTGGAGGAAAACCAAATTAAGAAATTCACCTCTGCCTGAGTACCAGCACTCTGCTCCCAACTTTATTGGGAAACCTTTTGTGTACTTTTTAAGATACTTTACCCCACAATTCATTAGCCACATAACTTATCACACCAACCTGTACGCCAGTCAAAAGGACATTAACACCACCTTCACCACCAATGAGGATGAGATGATGAAATTTGTAGGAATTCTCATCTACATGGGCGTGGTAGAACTGCCATCTATAGATGACTACTGGGCCATGGACACCAGGGTTCCTCAGATTGCCAACATCATGTCATCAAAGAGGTTCAGGCTGCTCAGAAGGATGATCCACTTCAATGACAACACCCTTATCCCTGGCACCACTGACCGCTTCTTCAAGGTCCGGCCATTGTTCACCTTCCTCTGCAGTGCCTTCAGAAGTGAGGAGCAGACCCCGAAGCAGTCAGTGGATGAGGTGATGGTTGCCTTCAAAGGGAAGACAGCTGGGAACTTGAGGCAGTATATTAAAAACAAGCCTGACAAGTGGGGGTTTAAGTTGTTTGCCAGGGCCTCCGAGGATGGATTTATCCATGACATGGTCCTATACCAGGGCAAGACTACGCTGGAGGCCCATGGTGTCCCCCTGACACCTGAACAAAGAGCCTTGGGCGCCACCAGCCAGATTGTCTCTGTCCTGGCCAGTACCATGTCATCCTCCACCACAACAGCCATCTTCGCTGACAACTTTTTCACCAGCTTGGAGCTAGTCCGGTACCTCAAAACTCAGAACTGCAGGTAACAATTACTTTCTGTGAGTGAGTGAATGAATGATTACATTTATGTTGCACTTTACTGCTGGATATGTAACCCACTTACATTGGATCCATTATTCATCCATTCCATATTTATGTGTTCAGATACACAGGAACTGCAAGGGACAACAGAATTGGACATCCTCCCCTAAAGTCCATCACAGAGATGGAGAAAAAAGGTGTCCCTCGTGGGACCTGTCACTCCGTTGTCAGTGATGATGGGATCCTGGTCCTCAGGTGGAAGGACAATAAAGTTGTCACTCTGCTTTCGACAGACATGGGAGTGGAACCTCTGTCATCTGTCTACAGGTATTGTTTATTTTAGTTTTGTCTGATTGTGTTGTTCCTGTAGATGTCAGTGCTGCCTTTATATTTTTTTTTTTTACTTAGCCATTTATTTTCCTCCATTCATTTATATTTTTACACTTTTTATGGAGCTGTTACAACACCAAATTTCACTAATGGTGATCAATAAAACAAAATCGTGTTTTAGGTTCTCCAGTGAATCCAAAAAGAAGGAACCTGTGAGCTGTCCTGCAGTCATCAAAAGCTACAATTCCAACATGGGGGGGATTGACAAGAGCGACATGTTGGTGCACCTGTACCGCACCCCCATGAAGTCCAAGAGGTGGTATATACTCTGTTTGCATACACTATTGATCTGGCCATCTCAAATGCCTGGCTGATGTACAGGCGGGACTGCAAGGAACTGAAACTGGGCAGCCAGTCTCTGAAAAGCTTCCGGATCGAGGTGTTCAAGCATGCCTCTAACCAAAGGCTGTCTGTAGTTCGCTCAGGAAGAAGCTCTGACAGTCTGAGAGCTGCCTTTGATGTTCCCAAGCCAGTCCGAGGACATCGCTGCTCCAACCCCACTGAGGCTGTGCGTTTCGACCACTCCGTGTTCCACGTTCCTGTCTACACTCATCGCCAAACATGCAAGTACTGCAGCAGGAAAGACAACATTGCAAGGTCCAATGTTTTCTGCGGGGTTTGCAAGGTCCATCTCTGCCTAAATGCAACACGCAACTGCTTTGCTGAGTACCACAACCCTAAATAAAGATAGTCAATAGATATTTAGAAGGCAGTAAGGCACTGAACATTCTAAAATACTGTGAAAGAACTTTATTTCACAGTATTTTGGAACATTCAGTGCCTTACTGCCTTCTCAACATAAATTTATGTTCTAAAATGCTGTGAAATAATCAAAGTTCTATTTATGTTGAGAAGGCACTAAGCCACTGAATGTTCTAAAATACTGTAAAATTTTAAAGTTTTATTTATGTTGAAAAAGCACTAAGACACTGAAGGTTCTAAAATACTGCAAAATGATAAAGTTCTATTTATGATGAGAAAGCAGTAAGGCACTGCAACATCCATCCATTGTTCTATTTTCCTATTATTATATTGTATTGTTATGAAATGTTACATTATACTCTATATTTAAAATATTCTGTCATGATTTTAGATGTTTTCTATGAAGTATTATCTTGTTAAAGTGGTTTCATAATGTTATTAAATGGTCTAAACAAATGTTTATTAAACTATTTCATGTTTTTTCAACAAATTCTATCTTGTGTTCTTTTTAGATTTTTTTTTACCAGAACGGGGCAAGTTACCATATATGATCACTTCGTTTCCTGTGATTTTCAGCATGAAAATGAAAATTTTTTAATAATGTAATTACAGATTATTATTATTGATATATACCACAATGACACCCTGAGATGGAAATTTAACATTTCAAAGTTTTTCAATGAGTGCCCTATAAAGGGTTAATTCGGTCCATGAGGGCTGCTGTCCTGTGAGTTTTAGAGTTTTCCCTGCTTCAGCACAGCTTCTGCTGAACTGCAATCATCAGAATCAGCTCTGCTGAGGCAGGCAAACCTCTAAAACCTGCAAGACAGCCGGCCTTGAGAACCGACCTTGGATATGCCTGACATAAGACATTGAACTTCGAGGGCTACTGCAGCACATGGCTATATTGATTGATTTGTCGCCTAAAGGGCTGGTTATACTCCCGCAGCAGTGTGTCGCAGAGAGCTTGTCGCAAATATTTTTGATTTATGCACAATATTGAAGCGTGGTCTGGGCAATGTTTTTCCACGCCACAATGCAAGGGTGACAATGATGAACTAACTTTGGGTCTAGACATGGCTGAGGCAGTGAGGAAGTGGGCACAAGTTTGTGCAAAAACAGAGGGACATGAGGGTGAAAAATAGGGGGGATCCAGGTAGAAAAAGGGTCCCAGCATTCTCGCGCACCTCGCTCTTCTAGCTGGTCTATCTTCACGAGTCATTTTTCCACATTGGCGGTCATACAAAAAACACAAGCCGGTAAGGCACCAAACAGGAAATATGCATAATGTAGAGCGGATGTAGATTTGACCAATCAGAGACCTCCTGTCTTTGGCACTGTCTGCGGTCACCTACAATTTTGGAGAGGTGCACCGGAGTGTCTGCATACAGTAAAGGGCAGTGGCACATTTGCACAGAAGACCTGGATTCTGAGTATAAATCAGCCTTAAGACCAGTGAAATAAAGGGGCACGTCAGCAAAATGAAACAGATAACAGAATAGAAATAAATTCTCTAATTTAATTTATTTTAGGTCAGATATTCCGAAGGGAAGGTCAGAATGTGATATAACCAACATAAACACATGGATTTATTCTGCCTTGCAAGAATGTTTGTAGCTTGTAAAGGTGCTGAAATGTTGATTTCAAATGACAGTTCAACCTGTAGTTGAAGTTTTTGTTGTCTTCAATAAAGAAAAAAACAAAACAAACAAAAAATAGAGTTTTACAGTTTGTTTTGATTTTAAACCTTTGCAGTACTTGTTGTTTTTCTTTTGTGTGACCTGAGTCAAATTTCCCATTAAATAACCATGATAACTTTATGATGACTTTTGGAGTTTATGCAGCTAAAAGCAGATAATGTTGTCAGTGGTAATTTTTTTTCTCTCTTAGCTGGGGGGTTTCAGTGTTCACGTGAACGCTGCGGGGAGACCAGGAATGATGACCATGCCTGCCACTGTTCAGATGACTGCCTTGAGAAAGGAGACTGCTGTTCTAATTACAAATCCACCTGCAGAGGTACACAACCTAAACATTTAGCTTAAAAAAAAATGTAATTAAAAAAATCTTTTAGACTGGATAAGGACTCTATTATTATATCCTTCAGGTGAGACATCATGGTTGGAGGACAGCTGTGAAGATATCAAGAGTCCTGAATGTCCTGCAGGGTAAGACTCTTATGCTAAATAGGCGTTTGAACAGTTTAGCATCAATATTGATTATATTTTCACATGTAATGTTTTGCTGGCCTGTTTAAGTAGCTTGCAAAACTATTAAAAGGCTAGTATATAATTAGTTGGAGACATACTTGAAATGTATGTTTACCTTGGAGGGAGTGGCAGAGTTTCACAGCTCATGAGGTATAATCTAGAGGAAACCCATGAGACAAGGAGTCCACAAATCCATCCTTTACTGAAGATGAACAAGTCGAGGATTTTTTCTAAGCCTTGATTAAGCTTGACAAAAAGCCATGCTGGGGACAAACTAAACAAACGGAATAACATTCTGTGACCTGCATAGAAAAATGCTTGTTTGGTGGAATATTGACCCAGCATTTAGAATCTCAATATGTTGTGACGGAAGCAGCATCCTTTCGGGTTACTTATCTTTATTAGGTAGATTGAAGATGATGTAAGTCAATGAGAACATAGATGAGGTGCATTATAAAACATGGCTAGAAGAAATAAGAGTTTGGGGACACTTGGAGATCGAAAGAAAGAAAGAAAGAAAGAAAGAGGGATCAGGTGTAGCTTGCCTTAGTGTGGCATTGTCTGTGTTGGTTAACATTCAAGAGATGTGGACCCAGTCTGGTGGCCTTTGGCTCCTGCAGGTGCGTTGGACTGGCTGGGGGCTTCAGGTCCTGCAATGAACTTTGATAGGTGTTCCTCACTCATAACCTCACAAGGTCTGACCCTGCAGGGTGGAATATACCGTACATACACTTCCTTGGTCCCTCTTGATTTTAGCATCTGTCAGCCAATACCTGTCCAGTGTGTTTCGTGGCTTTCCTGCTTAATGCCAGGTGGATTTTGCTACTGCAGGTTGGTGTGGACTCTGGGTCACCAGAGAGGTGGCTATGTGGCTGGGTTGTGGAGGATTTGGTACTCTGTATCCTCACTGGGATACTGTACACTTAAAAATTGTCTGTCTGTCTGAGTTATAAAATTAGACTTAAATTCAACTGAGCTTCTGCAGTATGTTGATAAATTTGCAGGTTGTGGATAGTACAATCCAAAAGTGGAACAACTATTTATTGGGCACTGGGGTAGTTACTGTATTTTTATACACTGAGCCCAGTTGGTAGTATTTGATTCCTAGATAAATAAAATCTTTATTTGAAGTATTGACTTTGCATTTGCTTTGATCATTTTATTTATTCTTTATTTCATAATATGGGTTAAATGCAACAACTGCAGTTGACATGGTCTGAACAAATTCTGTGTAAAAGACAGATTAAATCAGTAACATATGAAACATTGTTTATAAAATGAGTTACAGCAGGTGGAGTAGTGGTTTTGATTTTTAGGAGTGTTTGCATTGCTGTTTATTCAGTGTCTCTGTTTGCTCTGCTATGGGACGACTATCTGTTCAAGGGCAGCTGGGATGATCTCTACTCTTGTCCATGCAGCCCTGGAATAGATGAGAGCATGATTTGAAAAAAAAATTTAAGAATCAACCAAAATCATTGACCTCTGGTGGGTCCAAACCTAAATACTGAGCAACCTCTGCTTTCCACATTTTACGTCTAGGTGTTCCTGTTCCCAATTAATACAATAGAACCTTTGTTTCCATTATACATAGGTGAACAAAATTGTATGTACCCCTTGTTAAATGAAAAGGAAAAAACACAATAGTGTCAAAATACTTGAATGTTACAAAAGTGATGAGACAAAATTGTGTGAAAATGAACAAATAAAAGTCAGACATTGCTTTTCAGCGATGCTTGCACTAAGTTATTTTTAAAATAAACTCATGAAAAAAACATGGGCAAAAATGATGGTAACCATAGACAACTCTGAAAACAATGGAGCCCAAGGGACATGTTACAATGTGTCCATTAATTAGGATCACAGGTGTCTACAAACTAGTATTCAGTCAGTGGGCCTACATATAGGGCAACAGGTAGTCACTATGCTGTTTGGTGACATGGTGTGTACCACACTCAACGTGGACCGAAGGAAACAAAGGAAAGAGTTGTCTTAGGAAATTAGAAATTATAGATAAACATGTAAAAGGTAAAGGTTTCAAGACAATTTCCAAAATGTATATATTCCAAATAATTGACCAGTATAGGCTTTAAGAACAATGAAACATACTAGTTTGTAACAGCTCTGCTATCCAGCCTGCACACAGTTTAAGATGCATCTGTTCACCATGCATTGCGATGCTCTGACTTTATTGCTAATTCAAAAACATAATGAAACAAAAGCATAAACAGGGGTCAATCAGCAAATTCTTACATATCATGGGTGCAGCACTTCGATATGAGTAGCTAAAGGAGATCTCACAGCTTCTGGATATCTTTGTAACATTTCAAAGATCCAGTGCTGAGTGTGAAAGAAGATTTATTTTAATAAACATTATCAAAACAGCATCCAAATTGGATAATTATTGGAGAAGGAAGGAAATAGATACAATTTAAGAAGATTTAAGAAGACAATACTGGTGGATATTATTCATGAAAGGGTTATTCAGTTATATTTTTATGTTACGCTAAAAAAACTGGGAGCAACAGGAATTTATTGTGTATCACAAGCATCAGCACACTTTTCACACACACACACATACTGTATATATATATATATATATATATATATATATAATTTTTTTTGTGGGAAAAGGGTGTAAAACTATGCAATCCAGCTATATAAAGGACAAGTATTTTAAATCACTCAGTCAGCATTTTATTTATCTCTTTGCAAAGACAAAGCAAAACAAACAAAGCCCTAACAGCTCAATGTTTTACCCTGTTAAGTTAACTAGCCTAAACGCCGCAGAAAGGCTGTGAAGGTCCTCATATACATTTAATAAAAAACAATTGCAAACAGTTGGAGGAAAAAGTAGAATGTTATGAATGAAACCCTGAGAAAAAGTCTAGCTTGTTATAAGAATGATTACTTTTATCCTAGAAACATCCTAATGGGATAAACAACTGCTTTCCCTTAGACACCTTCTAACCTTGGGGCTATAATGTTTGGCCTTAGCTTGCACATCTGATGTTGCTAACAGTGGTCCTTAGTGTAGTCAGGGGCTCATGTGTATGCTCAGACACATGAAATATTAGGGGGAATATTGCTGACAGGGACCAGAGATCCTACATGAATGTCTGATCGACAGATGAGGCAAAAAACGAACTTTTTGCCAAGGTACATCAGCTCTATGTTCATATATTGAAAAATTATGCATATATCAAGAAAAGGTCACTGTCCATACTGTGAAACATTGAGGAGGGGCTCTTTTATGTTCTGGGGCTGCATTTGCCCCATCTGGCATAGGGTGTTCTGGAACTCTGCAGAGTACAGTGAAACCTTAAAAGTATAGTGGGAGATTTTTGCATATTTTTTAAAAGAAATGTTTTTAAAAAAAAATGCCCATGCACCACCCTGTACCCGCTCCAGAGAGGGAACGCCTATGAAATGCGTGCGAGAGCATGCACAAGCCCATTTCTCCTTGTGCACGCTCTGTTTAAAAGTTATTGCTTTCATCGCTCATACAAGGTTACTTTCCAATAGAAGATTTTGAATTTTTTCCACTATGTCAGATTCATCACCAGTTAGTAAAATGGGGCTGAGGACATAGACTTTCTTAAACATATCACCAGAATGATTGAGGACCACTTGTTTTGATTATCCACCCGGAAAAAGAACAGCCTCCACTGTACCTTTAAGACTGTCAATGGATTCTGGTGAGAAATCTGCTGCAACAATATAATAACTGTATAATAAGTGGCCTTCTATAATCCTATTGAGCATCTTTGGAGGGAGCTGAAATATGCCGTCTGGAAAAGTTATACCTCAAACCTGAGTCAACTGGAGCACTTAGCTCATAAGGAATGTGGTTCAGAATACCTGCTGAGAGGTACTGATGTCTTGTTGACAGTTACAGGAATAGTTTGATGCAGATATCTCATTAAAAGGCAGTGCAGCAAAATATTAAGGGTACCATACATTTTTGTCCAGGCCTGTTTCATGCTTTTAAAACATGGTTAAAAAGCAATGTCTGTCATGATTGGTCTTAGGTTCTTAGCCCACATGCAGAACACAACTGAGGCTGGGTAAAAGTTTAACAGAGTTTATTGAGTTATACACTAAACACAAGATCATGAACTGGATCAGGAACTGGTCCGGGCTGGTTCACTGAAGTCTGCAGAGATGATAGTTTGATTAGGAAGCAGGCTGATGACTTATGAGTCTTTGATAGTTCAAGAGTATACCTTGACAGAGTCCGGGTTTCTCTTTGAGAGAGAGGGAACCGTTGGGTCCAGAGACTGTTTGTTCAGCAGAGTCCAAGAGCAGCTGCAGCGTCTTGCTTCTGACTTTAATGACTGACCTTGATCAGAGTTTCCAGCTCTTAACTAAGAGCAGCAGGGGAATCCACACAGGAATCTTCAGGTTTGGCTCACGAGGGCAATCTCGGCAGGTTAAGCTCATCCAGAGCTTCAGGTTAGAGACAGGTTTCCTGTGAGGCAAAAACAAGGGAGAGTTAGAATCAGATCCCTCTCTAGAGATAGCTAAGATTCTTCAGGTTCTAGGCTCAGGTCGCTAACCAAACTAGGTCAACACTGCGGCGTCGAAGCAAGGTCTGGCAGCTGGTTATAAAGGGCAGGTCTCTTGATGAGTAGATGCGTCTCAGGTGTGCTGGAAGACTCCAGCTCCAGGAGACCCAGGGCGCACTCTGCTGGAGGAAGGTGTTACAGCTCCAGATCCCAACAATGTCACTGGGCATTCTGAGAAAACATATCAGCTTTCCTTTTTCAATATATTTTTCTTTTCTTGTATTGTAATAATTTTATTTTTATTATTCACTTGTATTCTATTTATTTATGCGTTGTCTTTATGCCACTAGAATGTGCTTTTCTTTTTTCTCATGTTCAACACTTGGAATCATCTTGCCACTGAAACAAGCTGTATAAACAAACTTACAGTACCTCGCCTATAGCATTAAAAGATAAATAAAGACATTCAGAAACATATTTTTCAACTTTTAAAAATGTCTGACTGACATAAAAGTCGACATTTTGTTAGAAACTGAGGACATTTAGGACTGTTTTTATATACCATTTTCATAATTATCTGTCAAACTCTGACATAGTATCACTCAGTTCATACACTTCAAATTTACCATTATCATTTCAAAACTGCCATTGTTCATTTAATATTTTTTGTGCTTTGCAGTTTTGTTCGTCCTCCTCTCATCATGCTGTCTGTTGATGGATTTAGAGCTTCCTACCTGAAGAAGGGCAAATTTGTCATCCCAAACTTGCATAAACTCAGTATGTGACTCAGTTGTTGCTCTTTCAAAGGATACTTGTATTTGTCTTAATTTGCAATATTTTCTGATTGGTTGTGACATCAGCCATTTTTCTTTTTTGTTGTTATTTAAGGATCATGTGGAGTATCACCTCCATACATAAGACCAGTCTATCCAACTAAGACATTTCCCAATTTATACACCCTAGCCACAGTAAGTGTCCCTCTCATCATGTTGAGTAAACTGTATGAATTTCTACTCTGTGAAACTTTTGAGTAAGCAATACTAAAGCCAGGCTGTTAATGAACACCCTCATATTTAGATAAGCTAAGAACAAACATTATGTTTGTTTCTGTTCTTTATGGTCTGCTTATGTTGTGACTCCGGAACAGGCTTGATTTTACCCTGTACTGACATTACACCATGTGATTTATCTGCAGGGTCTGTACCCAGAGTCCCATGGAATTGTGGGAAACACCATGCATGACCCAGTGTTCAATGCCACCTTCAGCCTGCGCTCAAGGGAGAAATTAAACCACCGCTGGTGGGGTGGAGAGCCAGTGAGTACAACGTACATACTAGATTTTCTTTTAACTGGAGTCACTTTGAATGCCAAGTGATTTCTAATTATAAAATTTTGTGTCCGGTTAGTGGTGGGCTTCTTAAACAACAAAGCCAGATGTGGGTTCAAGAAAATACAATAAAAAGTAGCCAACATAATTATAATGTACTGGGCAAAGTTTTGCCCAAACACCTCCACAATTTAAAATCAATGATATGCTGAGTGAACCATAAGTAATAACCTTTCTATTGTTTTATTTGGTTAAAATTAGTTTAGGATGCATAATGACCATTCAGTAAGATCAATATGATGTTGGCTCTTCAACCATAGATGAAAAACGTCTAATATTTCTGCTTTTATTAATCAGTTATCTGTTTCCATCCTGAGTTTTTTTTTTTTTTGCCTTAATGAATTTAAGAACTAGATCAGCAAGAGCTTTGCTTCAGGTGGGACAAAAGCTGGGCAACAAATTTTTGTGGAGATGAACATCCATCCATCCATCCATCCATCCATCCATCCATCCATCCATCCATCCATCCATCCATCCATCCATCCATCCATCCATCCATCCATCCATCCATCCATCCATCCATCCATCCATCAATACACTTATCCCTGCTAAGGTCGCAAGCGCAGTTAAACATAGTTTATTTTATTAAAATCATCTTTATTTCATTCAATCAATAATACGCATGAATAGTTAATGTAACAACTAAAAGAAATCATGATTAAAAGGAACAGAAAGGAGTAAAAACCTTGACATAGTTCAAATTAACTGTATACCCGCAAAACCTGTGTTTTTAATGGCCAATATGCTTTCATAATGAATTTCAAAATGTGGAAATTGATTTAGATTTTTTTCATCCCATTGTCAAGAGTGATCCATAACCTAACACCTTTAACTGAAATGCATCTTTCCCTCATTGCCTTTTGAGATTAAGTTCTCTCTGCGACCGAAGGGTTGTCGGTTCAGTACAGACCATTTACCATTACACCTTTAGCTATTACCCCATTCCCATGAACAAAACACAAGTCAACAATAAAAAATATTGGGCATAATGTGTAGGGGTGAGGGGGGGAAGCCCTTCACATTTTTACCTGCCCCCTCTTTTAACTATGCCTAGAACTTGTCCTGGTGTGTAAGAACTATTGTAGCATCAGCCTGATTTCCAGTGTTTGAAAATGTTGAGGAAGATTTTTTATGGAAGCTCAAAACACGAGGAACAAGCTGGCTTAGAGAAGCAAGCTATTTTAGCTCTGAATAAGAACGTTGTGATAAGTTTTCACCTTACATCAGCTGATGGAGGAACACATCTGCTGTAGACGGTGGAATATTCTTCTATTCATCAACATTTAGCTCCCCGAATTGGGTTACAAGACCTCCCTGTTAAAAAGGAAAGAAATAAAAAATGCACCTCAGAGGCTCCCGGCATCACTGAAGGTTAATAACTAGTTCAAAACCAAAGTAACTTTTAATAACAGTTCTTTCCAAATCCAGGCACTGGCCTCATTGATGCCCATTTGTGTTGTCATCAATGCCAATGTGACTGATCTTGGGTTTGTAGAGAATTATGCCGAAGCAATAGATGTTTTATTTACAAAAATCCAATGGATGTCTATTCTGCCCAGCCTTATAGCCCTTAGATCAGTGCTGTCAATATTTATTCAAAATATTGTAGATATTTTTATAATTGAAATAAAAAAAGAGCAGGTAAACCATAGAAAAAAAAATCTGCAATCCATAAAAGAGTTCTCATTGCAACCTCTCTCTTTTTCAGATCTGGATTACAGCAGAGAAACAAGGAGTAAAAGCAGCAACTTTCTTCTGGCCCTGGTACGTTAAACAATTTTTGAATTGTTGCAGGAAACACTAGTTATCAAATCGTAACGATTATTGTGAGTTTTTTTTTTAATGTTGTAGGGTATGGTAGTACCACTACAAATTAGTTTTTCTTGCCAAATGTGCTGTCATTGGATAAGATTTGAGGTTATGATAGACTGGTAATAAAAAGTCTTATCCAAGAAAAAATAAAATTTAAATTAAACCATGATAATATCATGTGGTGACAGTGATGTGGGATGCAGATGTTCATCCTGCAACTTCAAGGTAGCTGTTTTGAACCCAAGCTCCATTTTCTTAGGCTTGTCCGCTTAGATTAACTCACTGCAGCAAAACACCACTCTGGAGAATTGAAACACGGAACACTAGGCAATTGAACACCAAAACACAGGACAAGGAACACAAAGTGGAAAGTGTGAGTATTTGGACAGGGCCAAAGATACATACCCTACAACTTTCAGAGGGTTGGTATAAAGATTGAGTGAGGGGTAAGTTCAGTGTTGCTAGATAGTCGATAGAGAGTCGAGCCCAAACCTCTGTTAAAAACCATCACATCACACACAAAAAAATCCCAATTAATATATTGTTGTATTTACTGTGTGAACATGAACACACACTTCGGTACGACTTAATTCAACACTACGTGTCAAAATGCTACAATCCAACAAAATCTGCCCAGAGTTGTTCTCCATAAACAGCTCTGGGCTGTTTATGGAGAACAAACTAAAATTAGTTTGTCTTTTATGGAAAGACAAACTAAAATCAATGGGCACACACAGATATGCTAAGCTTATTTTTACATAATTGAAATAATTACATTTACTATGTTTGATTTTGAATTCTCACCTTTAATTCTTATTAAATTGCTGGCTGGAATATTGTACATCTGAACGTTGAACTTTTACGCTGAACTATAATAAAATTCATTGTGATTTGTGGTCAGAACATGGTTGAATGAAATCTCCCGAATAACTATCGGGGTGAACGGAATGGGGTCTAATGTCTATCCATTCCGTGTTAATCCAGTTCGCATATTCATCAAACTTGAGAGGATCGGGAGGCCCATGCGAATTCTGGACCCGACTTTGAGGAGAGCAACTTTTGAAAAAGCTCTAAAAGATTCCTCTTCCAACCAGAATGCACCGATCATCAGCGCTAGTTTTATCACACCAGATCCACCTGCTGCTAAAACTAGCCTAATCTATGGCGCCACTAGAATAGTTCTCTGTTGTAAACACCCTGTCAGATAACAGTAGCCACTCAGTGATGGACATGTGTTTTAATAGGTTAACTCAAAAACCGCCGATCTGACTCCGAACCAGCCCGAATTATCTTCACTCGCCCAAAGCAATTTTTACCTTCAAAATCTAAATGAAAACCACGTGATTGGGCAGTAAACCATCTAATTTGGCAACACTGGGTAAGTTGGTCTGAATAGGATCAGTGGCTTCTCTTGTGGTAATGGCTCGTTATACCAATTGTTTCCAAAGTCAGTACTTAAAAGACTGGCAACGTCTTTAATGTTTTCCTACTTCAACCTGACTGAATGGAATTAGTGATTTATAGCTTTCTCCTGAAAAACTTCTTAGATTAGACATTATTCGGTCACTTGAATAAGCTTTGGTAGATCAGGGGCATGTTTAAGATCTATCCAAACCATCTCAAGGCTCCAGGGAAAACAATGGCTAGGAGTTACATGTCAGTTATACTTAATTTAATCACAGGGGGGCATAATTACCACAATCAAACCACCAATATGGTAACCTAGTATTTATATCCTTTATATCTAGCCCATAATGAGAGGATTGAATGCAGAAGGTTTGCTTCGTTGAAAGGTCTAACCTAAGGTGGAGGAGAAAGAAAATACAATAGAAAACCAAACTACCACCCCAACAATCACAAAAGAGCACACACTAATCAAAGGCTTTTAAAATCACAATTTTTCTTCCCCCCTCAGGGTCATTCCTCTGGAAAGAAGGATTTTGACCATACTCCGTTGGCTCAAGCTTTCAGATGAAGAGAGGTATTCCCAACTGTTCTTTTTTATATTTCATCCTTTGATGATGTTACAACAGGACAAAAATGTGGTTGAATTTTTTTCAAAATAACATTTCCACTGTCTGTGGACAAAGACCATCACAATAAAAACAGGAAAAAGCAAAAATCAAACACGGATATTAAGTAAATATAGCCCATTAAAGATGTATTAAATGAAAATGAATCCATATCCAAATTTTAAAAAGCAAATGAAAAAAGAAATTACGACTGGTTATTCTACAATACTTTTAATACAGCCATATGGAGAAGTTTTGGTTTTGTGAGTGAACCGGCTAGCAGTTTACCTCTAGTTTGGTTGGAAATGTAAAAAGGCGGAAAGAACTGTCATTCACTGCAGGTTTCTTTTTTTCATATTAGAGAATGCTCCACATGCATGCTGGCACCATTAACCTTGCTTGTTTAAAATGATACAGTTGATGGTTACTTAATGTTTGGGTTTTTTTCTGCAAATTTTGGGATATAAGAAGAGGTTTTAGCTTAAGTCTTTAAAACTAGCTTAGGTAGGCTTCAGTCTAAATACTGTCCAAAAAAATAAAGGTGTAATGGTGCACCCTGTGAATCCTTTCACTTTTTATGGCAATTACATTGTCTTCATCTTAATATTTCCACATTTAAAACATCATAGATTTTGATATCAAGTCTACATTTTCATAATGTCAAACTTAGTTTTCACAAAATACTTTCATCTTCCAGAGTGATGGACTAGGAGCCTGCAGGTGTAAAGCTGTAACCATTCAAAATCTTGCTTCAGTTAAATAATAAAAAAAGCTATATCCATATTAATATTTGTGAAAATAAGTCCTCAGTTAAAACTGTCCAGTTTCATCTCAATTACTTGCTGTGAACCTAAAATTTATTATGTCAATTTTTCTTGTTCACATCTTTGAAATTTTAAACATAATTTGAAATATTTATTTTTATTTCTATCAATATGTTGTTTAATTTTAAGTTTTATGGATACACTCTCTAGTCGTGAATGCAGACAGAATTACCTCTTTCTAGCTCTTCAAAAATCTGCTTTGTTTCTTTGTCAGTGGGCTCAAACATTCCTTATGGTCAAGTATCTGGAATAACTGAACGACTTTGGAGTGTTCCAGATCTTAGGTGCCACAATAAAATTAAGTGCTATTCTAACTTAACTCTGTGGTTTAGTTTTAAAAATCCTGTTTAGAAGCATATCCTATTTAGTTTGTTAATTTTTAGAAAAGAAACTAATGGCATAGGGAATGTAATTTACAGAAGCCGAGAGCAGTTTTCCTTTGCCTTCTCGAGATAATGACATAACTATCTCGTTATCACGGTTAAACAATTAATTGTTTTCTTAAGATAACGAGATAATTATCTCGTTATCATGAGAAAACTGTTATTGATTTCTTGAGATAACGAGATGGTTAACCTGTATGAGTACTGAATGAGGCTGGCCAACAGCCCTGGATTCCAAGTCCATCCATGCCTACAGTGCCTCTTGTTGTGCATTTAGGTCGAGGTGGATGATTGGATTGCATGGAATACAGTAGAAACAAATATGACTCTTTTTTAATGAAAATCTTTAATCTGGACTCATTTTGGGGGTTATTTCATTTTATACCTGGTTTAGGCGTAACACCGGGGCTGTTCAGAAGATACTCGGCTCTAAAGCGTCGGATGCATAGGTCTAATTGCTCAAGAATCAGAGGATGTAATCAGTTTAACACACACACATCATCTCGTTATCACGAGAAAGCGGCTTTAGAGAAAAATAAGAACAATTATTTGCTTTCTCATGAAAACCACAGTGAAAAGGTATCTGAGGGAGACAACAGTTCTCGGCTTCTGAAGTAATTAGTTTTGAACGGTGTAAAATTAAATCTGAGACTCTAAAACTATAATTTAAAAAATATTATTTATCTCACTCAATCCCAAATAGCTTCATTTTAAAGTCACTATGGATTATGTGAATGAATGATTTTATTTCTTACTCTGCAGGCCGTATGTCTATGCAGTCCACTCAGAGCAGCCGGATACCTTTGGTCACCGTCTCGGACCACTTAGCAGCGAGGTTTGTATATAACCTGAAAGACATTTTTTTTTTTTTTTTAAGTGTCTCTGTATAGAATTGTTTAATATGTTTTTAAATGTTTTGATGATGTTTCTGGCCTTTAGCTGGACAACCCTCTGAGGGAAGTCGACAACATCATTGGTCAGCTTATGAATGGACTCAAACAGATGAATCTACACCGATGTGTCAACGTCATCATTGTAGGGGATCATGGTACTTCAGACTTCCATCTGATAGAGCACTAAGTCACACCTGTGGTAAACAGATGCACCTGAACACCAAAGGGCAAGGTGCCTCTGGACCAAAGAACCAAACTGGTGTTCGTATGACCAATAACTTTTTGGATTGCTATTGAACCGCGGGTCTTATGCTACGTTCACACCGCAAGCAGCAGGAGCAGCAAAAACGCGTGTGCTGCTTCATTTTTTATGCTTGTAGAAGTTAAGTTCTGATGCGCAGCTGAAGAATCTTTACTGCCCTCCGTTACTTACTTCGCCTGTAACAATGGCAGTTATATTTGCTGTTATAAAAGGGTAAGACATAGTTTTAATATGCTTTTAAGTGAAAAACTCCACCTATAAACTTCATCTGTGCAGTCAGTTCATCCAGATTACCATCATGCCTTCCTGCCAGATTACCATCCTGCTGACGGAGCCGCTCAGACCCCCATTGTTACTAGGAATTGCATTCAACAGCAGCCTCTGGCCCGGTCGCCTCTTCGTGGTTTTCCGCTACCGTTCGCAGCAGCTGGAAGTAGATATTAAAATCCAGGATAATAAAATATATAACATATTTTGACGACAGATTTGCCGACAGATTACGACATTTTGAGTTAATTAAGCTGTAATAAACTGTTTCAGATTGATCATAGCTATCTGCATCAGTAGTGCTGTGTCTGTCTCCCTGCTAGCTCCCAAATCAGCTTCTCTGATTGGTTGATGTGGCGTGCGAGCAGCAGAAGTTCAATTTGTCAAACTCCAGCAGCTGCTGCTTCTTAAACTCATCGGGCGCGTCAGATGCCTAGAAGCTCATGACACACTGCTTCAGCTACTAAGACGTACTGCTCCTGCTGCCTCTGCTGCTTGCGGTGTGAACATATCATTAAACTGTCCTGGGCAAAGAGCCATATTGCTCAATTATAAAGTTTCCACAAGTCAGAGTGAAATTGTCATTCGGTCAAAGATTTAACATTTATTAAAAAATGCTTTACTTCATTGTTTTCAATCTCAATAGCAAAAAACATTTTCTCTATGTGTTGTATTTTATACATAACTAGGGCAGATTTATATGTAACACAGGTTGCATAAATGTGACATTATTTTCTGTCAGGTATGGATGAAGCCCACTGTGATAGGACAGAGTTCCTCAGCAGCTACCCTCTAAATCTAGATGAAATCATCCTCATCCCTGGTGCCATTGGTAGAATACGTCCCCGTGACCCCAAATCAGCCACATGTAAGAGAAGAGTAATTGGAAAAAACTGTATGATATGAAATAGTTTCAAAATAAAAACAATCTTCATCATTCTTAATTTTCTTTTTTTTTTTTTACAGATGACCCAAAGGTTGTGGTTGGAAACCTTACTGTAAGTACATAATGGAGTAGTGATTGTCTTAAGTTTGTGCATTTGTTCATCTTTAGGAGAACACAACATGATCCAGATTTTAACCTACAGAATTTCTGTCTTAGTGTAAAATGCCTACTCAGCACTTTAAACCATACCTGAAGCAGCATTTACCCAAGAGGCTTCACTACGCCAACAACCGCAGGATCGAGGATGTCCAGCTGGTGATGGAGAGAAAATGGCACATTGCTAAGTAACCAGAGACAAAGTTATACTGCGATGTAGGGAGATAATAAAGCACGAAAGCTTGAGGATTTATGCTCCAGATTTAAAATGTTGATTAATGGATTCTACGAGATGTAGATCCCATCTGCCTTAATCAGAATCTTATATTTTAAGTGAGCAAATAATAAATCATGTTGTGTGAGATTTTAAGTCAAATTAATTATTTTGGCTTATACGGCAACGATTTTCAGTAGCAAAAAAAAAAATGTTTTTCAGAAAAATGCCAGAAAAACCCAGAACTCCATGCTTTTTCTTCGGTGACCATGGCTTCGACAACAAGTATACAAGCATGAGGGTAAAGAACCTTTGCCTTGTTGTTGGTTCATGTTTTTAACCGTGGCTTCATTTAAAAATGTTTGACCAATTGAAGAATTTTGACCACTGGAAGAAATTAAGCCACACATTAAAAGAGATCCAGATGAAGAGACGTTTTTTGCCTTGTAGAGATTGACCATGGAAATGCATGTATGCCTTTGTCAGATCTCAGATAAAACAGCAAATCTAAAACAAAGATTTGTTAAACATATTTATCTTTTTTTAATGTTGGGTTTGAGAATTACCTGAACTTGAACTTCTTCCTATTTGTAGACTATTTTTGTCGGCCATGGACCAAGCTTCAAATTTCAGAAAAGTGTTCCAGAGTTCGACAACATAGAGTTATACAACGTCATGTGCGGTAAGAAATAATCTCCCTTAAAAGAAAAGCTTTGAGCCTAGAATTATTGAAATTCACAATTCTTTCATTTTTTGTTTTGCTAAGTGTCAGAAAACCCTATGAAGAGGAATCAAAGCTAAACAGTCCCTCTCAGATTTTTGCTGCAGATTTTTATATAGTATAAAACAGCAAAAACAAATATGCTTATTTCTGATTATGTTTAATGTGTAAAACTAAAGAAAACGTGACGCCATGTTGGTAAATATCACAATTTTTTTTAATATGAAATCCTTCCTTATTAATTCACAGCAAATTACTCCTGTTTACTCCTGTTTCTCTCCTACACATGGGCTTAGGTTTTACTGTGACAAACTGTATGTGCTTTCTCTCATCCCTTTTGATATCAAAACCAGCTCAAAGTTCATCTTCTTAACTGTGTCCTTCCATGACTAAGCCACCTTTGGGGCTAGTTTATCTTTCCTAACATAGAATGTATTCCTGGATCAGTACTTATGTTACTTTTTTATAGGGCAAGACTATGAAATTATTATGCAAATTATCATACAACTTTTTTTTTTAAGATGACCAACATACCAACTTAAAATACATCAAAAGAAGAGGGACTTTGAATAAATGAACAAGTTTATGAATATTAAAGACGATCAACATAGTGCAAATATACTTATGTCATGACACTAGAGATAATAAAATTTAATGAAACTCCTGAGTAAAATATTTACAAGCCACTGCAATGTTTTTCAAATAAAATGCATTCATGTATTCATTTCAAATATTGACTGGTCTAATAAAATAAAATAAAAAATAAAACACACATAAACTTACTTTAGTTTATAAAATATAACATTGAACACTAGAATAATATAATCCAAACTCTAGATCAAAATCTGTCATAGAGCTGCAAATGTAGTTCAATATATTATCTGTGCAATCTATGATAAAACAATAAATTATCGTTATACAAGGAGGTAAATGCAGCTTTAACTGGTGCAAATGTAATGCGCAAAACATTAACTTGTTCAGCAATGCTGATGAAATAGGCTCACAAAGTTGCCTAATAAAAAGTAACAGATGTGACAAAGTAATGTAAATGCACAAAGCTATACAAACTGTTTCTGCTACAGGAAGACTATAGAGGTAGACTCGAATTATACTGAAAGCACTTCCGATATTTCACTAATAATGTAAGCAAAATTAATTATTGTTACATACAAAAGAAAAACTAGAGTAAGACCATCATAGGGTTTTTGGCAGAAAGACGAGTTTGTCCAATTTGTCTGTTTGAAGGGTTGCTCTTTGGCATGTGACAATATTTGCCCCAGTGCTAAACACTGGCTCAGAGGGAGAACTTGTTGCAGACATGCAAAGATATTTCTGAACAAGTTGACTCAATTTTGTAAAATTGACGTCATAAGCCTACGTACGCTTACACTGCATGCAAATTCCACAGCTGGAGCAAAGGATTCCCATGTTATCTCTATGTGGAAGGGCGGATCTTGGAGCCAACTATTGCCTCTTCCTACTGGCCCCCTTTCCTGGATGTGCCGCTCCGCTTTGCCTTTCTTTCCCGCTCTAGTGCACTGACTCCCGTACTCACTCTCTCGAGTGGTACCTTAGTTCCAGAGGGTGAAACAGCTGGCAGCCTGGTCTTTGTTCTGTTTTTTTTAATTCTCACCAGGTTCACGTTGAGCTGGATGCGAATGTTCTGTCAGATGAGCATACCAGGTCAAACCAGCATACCCATAGTCAATACCTGTTTATCCCTTTAGTTTCGCACGAAAAATAGACTTAAAACTATTTAATTACTTACTTTCTGGTGTTTATTGAAGGGCATTGCGAACTGATCTTAAATTGTTTGGTTTTTTTGTACATGACTAAAGGGACACACGCCCTTCGAGGTAGTTTAAAGTCTATTTTTTGTACAAAACTAAAGGGGTAAATGCAAATCTGACGTCTTGCACATGCGTATTGGCTATGGGTATGCTGGTATGACGGGGTATGCTGTTCTGACAGAACACCGGTCGCTTCTGAGTATCCAAAAAATCCCTCTTGAATATGGCACTTAGATTGTTTGCCCGGTCGGATCCATTGAAGTCACATCTGCTTAAGAGCGTGGAAATTTCCAACCTAAAGTAAATCAATGTAAATACGCTAGATGCTTATAGATCGATCAGTGTTGAACGAATGAGGTGATGGTCTGCTCATCAAATGATGTTTTAGTCATAAAGGGAAACATTAAAAACATAGGTATAAAGAATTTTTTAATATATTTTTCCGTAAGAACTTACATAATGACTCTAAGGCAACTATTGGCATTTTAAGATTTTTGCAGTGTCAGACGTGTAGTTTGGAAGATGTTCTTATATTGTCATATTCCCCACCTCTACTTTTGTCTGTCTGCTTCTGTACTCTTAAAACCCATCCTCTAAGCCTGGTTCTGCGGGAGGTTTTTCCTGTTAAACAGAGTTTTTCCTCTCCACTGTGGCTGCATGCATGCTCTATGTTATGAGTTTTGTAGAGTCAGCTACACAACGCAAGCAAAAGTCTACTGTTGCCATATGCTCATCTAGGAGGAGCAAACTCTTAAAGGTCATGACTGTATACCATCAACTGGGTTTTGTTAGATTACTTTATAATAATAGATACTCTAACTAGATAATCTTTTAGTGTGTCTCAATCCCTTTAGATGCCATGTGTTGTGGTATGGTAATATAGAGATAAAACTGATTTTATTTAAATTGAAGACTCTTCTTGGAGAAACCTGCTTCCCCAAACATAACCACCTGGTGGAAATTTTTTGGCAATTTTACAGATTTTATTTCCTTTTTAATGTCTCTCACATCAGATTTGTTAGGTTTGAAGCCGGCTCCCAACAATGGAACACACGGCAGCTTGAACGACTTGCTGAAGAATCCACCATTCCATCCCACCGTGCCAGAGGAAGTCACACCTCCGTCACCAGCTTCTGACTCTGACATGGTGACTCATGATCTGGGCTGCAACTGTGAGGATGAGGTAATAGGAGGGTATCAAGTGCAATAACTAAATAGATAGATAAATAAATAAACTAAATGAACTTTAGAAACAAGTTTTTATATTCTTTCTCTTTCGTTCCTCCCACAGAACAGGGTGGAGATCATTGAAACTTTTACTCCTGCACCAGATGGGGTATACAGCTACAGTGAGTTCCTTAACTGATGTCAATCTGAAGTATAAGAGCTATCCAAGCACATCTTGTAGAAAAGCAGTGATTAAGATGTCATGACTAAGCAAGTTAACATAAATTAAAATGGAAAGTTTCTATGACCAAGAAGAGTAAAAATCTAAAAAGCTAAGAACTTTAAAAAAGTTCCTATTAATCCTTCTACTTGTGACAAGACTGCACATACATATAATTTATTTTCTAAACTTTCCTCATGTCATTTATGAACACAGAGTACAGCAATAAAAATAGATCAAATTAACCATGAACTTTTCTCTATGAAACTAAACCTCAATTACTTTAAAAACACAATCGGTTATAACTCTGTTTCGTAATTGCAACTTTATTTATTTTACTTTTTATCTTCATAAAATAAATTTATTCAAATTATAAAACATGACGTAGGGAAAAGAAAACATGAAAAGGTGAGTGACCTGTTCAGACCGCGATTTCTTGCACAATATTTGGGGATTCGTTTCACAACCTTTAAACTGCACATCTGCAAAATTCTTACCAGGTTTACAGGAGGTTGCAAAGTTGTGGGGTGTCTTTGCATTGGTAAATAGTAAAGGTCAAGGTGACTGAGACATAAAACAAAAAGCAGTTCCCGACTTTATAATACAATCAATAAAAGACAGCAAGCATAAATATTTACTGGTTAATGAGTTACTGCAATCCTTCAGGACATGAGATCCAGGTATATGGCTTAGATTGATCAGATACTCAATTCTATATTTTAATCTTTTTTTTAAACCATTTTCATCTACATTTTTTCAGTTTCCAAGGACTCAAGGCAAACATAAGAAATATCAGAAATGAAATTGTTTATTAAAGTAATTAAGAGCAAAAATTAGAAGTAAGACAAACTCCATGTAACTTTATGCTTATATATTTGCAGACAGAACCCATCTTCCCTTTGGACGCCCAGCAGTGATGTTCACCACTCGGTACAGTCTACTACATCATGTGGAGTTCATCAGTGGATACAGTAAAGAACTGGCCATGCCGTTATGGACCTCATACACTCTGCCCCAGCAGGTACACACACAAACTCCATAATAGTAGGCGGGGCTCATAAAAATATTTGCAACCTTGAGAAATGTGTGCAGATGGAAGCTAATAATATATATGTTCTGATTAGTTTAAAAAAACTTAAAGATTTAAAATGAAAATATTGGGTGACTAATTTATCTTTAGGAGCTATCAGATAGAAAGATGTAAGGAAACCATTCAAAATGCCAATGACTGCCCACTTGCCCTCTGTAGTGATTAATTCTATATTGAAGAAGAGTAAAAACATGAACTTTATCGGAGAAAAGTCACTGTAAAATACGCTTTATCAACATTTCATGGCACGCGATGATTAAAGAGTTCAGTAATTTGCCTAACTGTGCTAGTTTGTCCTAGATAATGAAAAGCTCTTGAAAGATCACAGAGGTTTAAAGCTTTGAAGAATTAAATAAAGACATTTTACGATGCTGCGTTTAACCTTCTTATTACCTGCATTCTCCTGCTCTCACACATCAATGATCAGCTGATTAGTTTTCAGAAGGCATATTTAAAAACATCTCATATTGCTGTGTTTCCATTTTCATCGTTTACAAAAACCTCATTTATGTTGAAAATACATACAGAACATCTATAGCACATCTTGGTGATTAGTTAAGATAAGATGTGTTTGTTTAATAGGAAAATAATTGGATTTTTCAGTTTCTAGCCTGTCATTCCCAAACTAGTCCAGAACATATTTTATTCAGCATTTCATGTTACATCAAGACCCCAAACCACTTTCTTTTGCCTAGAGAACAAGATAATAATATACCTAAATCAATAGTTAGCTCCTCTTTATTAAAGTGTTAACTCAATAAAAACAACAGAAGTCAGATTTATTATCTGCCAGTTTTGTTGAGGTAAAATTCATATTATAGTTTTTAATATAACATAAGATCAACTACAATTAAATACATTAACTACAATTATTTTGCTAAATTTCTTCTGCTGTTATGATCTTTCCACTAATATTTGCTCTCTGTGTCTCAAATGTCAGTTTCAAGCATCAGTAAATGCTACAGTAAATCCAATATGGCAAATATAGCAATCCCTTTAAACATTAAAACTAAGGAGTCATTGGTTATTGTATAATGCAAAAAAGGTATTACTTTGCGAATAACCTTATCTTAATTTTGTATTGAGGCAGTTAATATCAAAGAACTAACATAAACAGTATGTGTCAATAATTTTCAGGTCACCTATTTTTTCAAATGTCAAAAATACAAAAGCTGTTCCTAATTTAAGTTAAAATAATGCATCAGCAATAAATTCTCTTTCATCATTAGTGAGATACATATAGTTTAAACATTTTTTAACACCAGTAACAAATAGGAATAAAGTCTTTATTAGTGGGTTAATTATTTTTAAAAATTGAAAGAAGGATCTTCTCTTGTATAATATTCTAAAAAGCAGAAAGTATCACTTAAGCCACAGAAGGTTATGTTCTCTGCAAGGAAATAACTGAAATCAAATAACATGGTTAAGACAACATTATGGGCAGCTTCTGACTTTAAGCCTTTACTTTACTCCCCGTGGGTGATGAAAAACACAACCGGGGGGTGCTAATTACACATTGCATAACAGTTTTTCCTGGCTTAAATCATGTTTAGGTCACGGCATAACACGTTTGGAGCTTTAAGGCTTTAAACCTAAACTTAAACAGAAGCTGAAAAACAAAGAGAGTCTGTCTCTAAAGGTGTGAACTCATATTCCCTGATGTTTAAGGACAGTTTTTTCAGGTTTACAAGAAACCTACTCACTAATTAGCTTTAGTAAATTGCACACTTTAAAACATGGATTCTTTGAAAAGGACTGACGCCTTGCATGAGTGTGAAGCCAGAAATAACAGCATTGCTTTTTCAATGCCCATTTCTGCATGAAATATAATATATTTTACATCAGTATTTTATTTTGGAGATTTCCTTTTTTTTTCTATTGCTCCCACTGTTTTATATTTGTCTCTCACACATGGATGGATTTTTTAATTTTTTTTTTTTTAAAGGAGGATCCAGCTCCCGTTCCAGAAGTTTCACCCTCTAATAACTGTGTCAGGGTTGACCCAAGAGTGTCTTCAGCTTACAGCCAGAGCTGCACAGGCTATAACCACAACAGCCACCTCACATATGGCTTCCTCTTTCCCCCAGGTAAAACTGCATAGCGGATGAAGCATACTCTGTAAACTTTTTTAAATTTATTTAAAAAGGAACAATGCATGATTTAAATGTCCATTTAAGCAGCACTTTCATTACTGTTTTTATGTCAACAGATTTTGCAATATCTTCTGAATCCAGATATGATGCTTCACTCATCACCAACACTGTCCCTATGTACCCTGCTTTTAAAAGTAAGTAATGCCCTTTTTACGCCACAGTTTGATAAAGTTGTGTTTTTATGAGCCATTTATTTGATTGTAGTAAGAACTTAAATGTGGTAAGGCTTGACTTGTGATATATTTGGTATTTCAAATGAATTCCAGTTTGAAAAAAGCATCACTACAAAAGCTCTGTGATGAAATGAACCCATATCTACAGTCAGACCATCCATTTAAGCTTAAAATAGCACTTAATTCTGACAATGATTAATTAATCATTAACACCTTAAAGTCCCAGCACTAATCATCCATACATCCGTTTTTTCATCATGCTTATCCCAAACGGGGTCACGAGGGGTGCTGGTGCCTATCTCAAGTTGTCAATGGCCAAGAGACAAACAACCATTCACAACAATTTGGAGAAGCCAATTAACCCAACACTTATATTTTTTGACTGTGGGAGGAAGCCGGAGTACCCAGAGAGAATCCCAAACATGCTCACGGAGAACATGCAAACTCCATGCAGAAAGACTCCAAGTCAGAAATCGAACCCGGAACCTTCTTGCTACAAAGCAGCAGTGCTACCCACTGTGCCACTGAGCAAAGTTAACAAATGTGGTTTTTTACATGGAGTTTCACTTTGACAACGTGCCTTTGTGGAATAGTACTAAGATCACTCTTTTTTTTAAACCAGCAGTTTTTGACTAAAATTAAAGCAGGAGCCTTTAGGGAAGCACCACACGCTCATCTGTGTTGTTGTGATGGCTTGTTTCTCTTCTAGAGGCCCTGGGTGTCTCGCTTGGGAACAGTTAAAAAGTAAGGGCATTTTAAATGAACATCTGGTGGCCATTCCCTGAACATGAGAACAAGTCTTCTTTGTATTTTTCAGCGGAATAATGCAAGTTTATCTCATTCCCCAAAGCTTGGCCTTTTATCAAAGCCAGAAAAAAGAGGTGAAAAAGAGATTATGCCAGGACTCTGGTTTGTGGTCACAATAAGCTAAGTAAACATAGAAAAAAAAGGTTAAAAAAAAACAATATATTAGGGCTTTCGCCAACAGGTCGACCAAATTCAGCTGAGTCATATTGGCTTATTCTATGGGTTTAGTATAGCACCCTACAAAAAAGCTGGATTAGACTGCCCAAATGTTACTAGCGCGGTCTCTGCCGGTAAACATATTTTTCATTGTATTATGCATCCAGTATTCATGTATTAGTCATCCAGGTCATAGACATTCCATAAAAAAAAAAAAAAAAAACAATCCACTGGACTTGGTTTCCAAGGTTTTAAGATGTGGGAGTGACCCCCTCCTTCTCCATGGCCTGCTTATTTTTTTATATGAATCCACCCTTTCACTGAATTACAAGGTCTGACCAGAAGAAGGCAATTTTCTTTAGATCTTAGTGGCCACAAATCATGACAGAAATAATGTTTAAGTACAAAGATTGGTGTTTAAAAAGAAATTGTAGGTGACCAGCCAAGGGCCCATCAAGGAAAGTGGGAAAATTTTCAATGGCTACTACTGTAGATGCTCATGAGATGCTGCACTACTAGAGCAGCTTCAGATGCTTCAAGATGAGCTGCACCAGCTGCTCAACATGTGCTGCAGGACCTTTTGATGCACCTTCATACGCTTCGGCCATAGAGTTTGCATGTAAATTGGCTTCTCCTGCTGCTCAACCTATAGACATATACGTTGAAATAAGTGGAAATGTGTCCTGGATTTAGATATAGGATCATTTTGAAATGTTTTTGTTTCTAAGGAAGCTAATACATGTGAAGCTAACTTTGCATTAGTATATAGGGCAAATTGAGAGATTTAGATTTATATGTAATGCAATAGAGTGACTGGGTCTATCAGATGAAATCTGTTTCTTCCAGGAATTTGAATAACAAAACGAAAAAAACATTCCCCACAAAAACATAAATTTTTTCAAAGAGTGGTAGATTTTAGAATCCTTCCTTTTTTTTCCTTTGCATCAGTGACAATCAGTGGTGTCACATGAGGCAAAGGACTGAAAGACGGTGACATCAGAGGACATAATGATACCCATTGTTTATGTAGAGAGAGGACTTATGAGCACACAACACAGCCTCTCTCTTTGAACCAAAACACAACTCAGCCAAATAATTCATTATTGTCATCCGATCTATTTCTATGGAGAGAGTTGTTTATTTGTATTAAGGCTGTAAAATGTTCATCGGTCTTTTACTCTTCATTTAAGAGGTTGAGATTTAGCACTGACACATAAAATAGAAATAAAGAACACTGGTGACATTAGGTCTGAGTGAGGACAGGCTGATACCCATTGTTTATGTGGAAAGAAAGGACTCATCAGATTAAACAAGCACTTCCTGATGCACAAACGGATCAGTTATTGTCATCAGTTCTGAGTGTGTGTTTGGGGCAATGGGGTTAAATGCTTTTAGATCAATCCTGCAAAAAATGTTTTTAAAGATAAAATTCCAGTTCACCCATGATGAATAAATTCTGATCGCATGGTCCCCCTTTACTGTTTTTTAAAACGCTGTTTCAGGCATCTGTAGTCAATGTCTACCGCATTGCAGATTTCAGGGACATTTGACATCACATTTAACCTGTATCGCCCGGGTCAGCTTTTAAAAACGGTTAATTCATGGGTTTGAAATCACTTAAATAGTTAATGCTTTAAAAAACTTAAACAATTTTGCTTAAGAACAGAAGGATATATGGGTCTTTTTGAGCATGTGAAGATGTTAGGTTTCAAAAGTCAGCACTTAATGTAATGCATTTTTCCCTTTTACCAGAGGAGGGCAGTAAAGATCCATAAGCGCTTCTAAAAGAAGGTTTACTGTGTCAAACCTTTTTCTTACACTTGGGGATTATAATGAAGATATGCTTCTCTTAAAGGTATAGAGGAGGATTTTTGTGAATTTTTGAAAAAAGATCTGCCCTTTCCCCTTAAAAAAAAAAAAAAAAGCTACTAGGAGAGAACGCCTATTAAACACGTGCGAGAGCGTGCACAAGCCAATTTCTCTTTGTGCACACTCTGTTTAAAAGTTGCTGTTTCCATCACTCATACAAGCTTACTTCCTAAAAGAAGAATTGCAATTTTTCCACTATATCAGACTTGGGATGACCACGTAGGACAGTGTTATTTAAAGATATCACCAGAATGATTGACATTAAGGAGGACACCTTATTTTGATGATCCATCCGGAAAAAGAACATCCACCACTATACCTTTAAGTACTACTTGATTCCCCTTTGGGCTCTTAATAAATAAAAAACAGTGTGATTCACTGTTTTTATTTAAGAACAAATTCCAAAGCTGGGAAACAGGAACATTACAAAGTCAGTGATCAATACCCACCCGCCCCACCCGAACCCAACCTTAGTTATAAATCAGATGACCCAATACACAGAAAAAAAAAGAAAAAAAAAGAAAAATGACAAAGCATGTGAGACATCTCATTGTGCGTTATTCACTTGCAAGTCTGAAATTCCCTTTGCAGTTTTTTCCCACATTTGCATGGTTGACACTCTTGCCGTATGGATTCTTGCAGTAGACAGTTCCATCATTACAACATCTTGAAAGTATAGCAACCATTTTTTAATAGGAAGCCTGTTTGGGGGGAGCCATCTCTGAACAATTAGTTTTTTTTGCTGTTGTTAGTCCTGCGAGCAACACTTTTCGCTGTTTCTCTGTACATTCAAACTATGAGCCGTTATTCAGTAACAGCAAACTTGGTTGAAATGAAATCTCTAATTCTAATAATTCAGATAGATTAGAAGTCACCTTCTCCCAAAAAGACTTAACCTCTTAAAACAGACGTCTTTAAAATCAAATCTGGTGTCACACTCCGTTTGCTGAGCCAGCTTTTTATGCTTAAATAGGTTGGACTCTGCACACGTACGTCACCAAATGTATATATGATCTTGTATTATGAGAAAGCAAAATTTCTTGTCCTTTTTTACTTTTACAGCTTTATATTCCTTATTTCCTTTTACCTATTCTTTTTGATTCTGTAATGCTGGAATTTGCACATTATGTATATTTATGTTCTTCTGATGACATCATTTCTATGTAATCAACCAGACATTGCAATAACTTAGCTCAGCTTTTACTGTGGCCAACTGTATTTGCTGTCTCTTGTCCGTTTGAATATATAGATTGAAGGAGTTGTTCTATCTTGAACAGTAATCTTACTTTAGAAATATTGTAGGACTATGTTTTTACATTTCTCTGATCTCTGCCCCTCAGACATTCATTTTGAAATTAGAAATAAAGAAAATAAATCAACACAGTAAATATAGTGTGAAACTGTGGATTTCTGTCAATTATAAACATGTATTATATCCAATTAATGTAAATTAGAAATCTGACATTTAATGAGATTCGGTTTGTGGTGAAATATGTCGCTCTGAAATGTTTTTTTCTTTATTCTGAAGTTGAACAGTTGAATATAAGATGTTTTAAAATGGATGGACCCCTCCTTCCTTTTTATTTTGTGTCTTTTTCTTTATTTATGCACAGGAATTTGGAGTTACCTGCAGAGGACACTGCTAAGACTTTACAGTAACGAAAACAATGGTATTAATGTTCTGTGCGGGCCTATCTTCGACCATAACTACGATGGCCTTCGAGACACTACGGAGCAGATTAAAGAGTATGTTTTCTACAGTAGCTTTTACATAGAAACACTGTATTGCAGTGGTAGTTGATACCATATGTGAGATTAGAAGCTTGTCTATTTGGGAGGAAATATTGAATTATGTCCTAAGTTGAAAATATAACACAGCATATATTTGGTCTCATGCTTTAGCCTATAATCATTAGCCTTTAATGTTTTAAACGATACAAAAGAAGCAGTCATTACAATATATTGTATCGCCTGGATTTTATTTTTGTTTTCTTGTTTGAAATCATATAACATCAGAAAGACAAAAGTAGTATCATTATAAATGTCCTCATTTAAGAAGAATCCCAGTGCCATCCTCTACTTTTGTAACCTGTTTTGGCAAATTATAGTTAGCTGCCAAATATGCTACAGATTTTAAGCCAATTGAATTATTACTTTTTTGTAAGGAAAAGTAAATCACTGCTTTAATCACAATGCATTTAATACAATGCATGAAAAATGTTATTTAAAGCCCCATAATTTCCAACCTGAAGTCTGACTTTTATGTTTTGAAGGTTTTCAGAAGAAGCACTGCCCATTCCTACCCACTTCTACACCATTGTGACAAGTTGCCAGGAGATGAACCAGACGGTGGATGAGTGTGAAGGGGCACTTCAGGTGTTCTCCTTCATCCTTCCTCACAGGCCAGACAACAGTGAAACCTGCAATGTAAGTTCAAAATAACACCACCAGGAGGCAGCAATGTCCAAACTATCATCTAGAGCAGGAGTGTCAAACTGGTTCCAGAAAGGGCCGTGTGGCTGCAAGCAGTAGCACCAGACTCCATTCATCTCATCATGTTCAGATTAGACTCACTTGATGAGATGAATGGAGTCTGGTGTGCTATTGCTTGGTTGGAAAGAAAACCTGCAGCCACACGGCCCTTTCTGGAACCAGTTTGACACCACTGATCTAGATTTTTGTTTAACTATTGACAGTATATTTGAGTATGTAATTGGGCTTAAAAGGTCTTAGGATTCAAATTAAAAGATTAGATTATATGCAAGTATTATTTCATTTTACTAGGATTTATAATTTTTATGTTTCGTAAAATAAAGATTGTGCAATGGTCCTGTTCAGGCATCTAACCCGCATACAAAAATCAACTCCCAGAAGACACTTAAAAACAGGTTTAACAAATTTATTAACAAACAGGGTGAAGTAGTAGATTCAAAAACAGCAGGTCTGGAGTTCTGGTCCTCTGAAAACCAGGGCATAGGGTTAAAACAGCAGGCAGGTTACCAATCAGAAATCAATTTGGCGTCCTGCACCCAGGTAATGAGGCTGATGATTTGCAGGAGCACCTGCACAAATGAGAATCCAAGAGGCTTTAGCAGAGTTCAATAGGTTAATAAGGTAAAAAAAAATATGAAATAGTTCTTTATTTTCATATTCTATCTCATTAACATGGAGTCCATGACTTTCTGTTTGTGCAGACACCTTTTATGCATATTGTTTTCAGCAATGCCTACAAGAATTTTGTATTTTTTCATTTTAAAGTCAGGCACGGTGTATTGCCATTTTTAGATTGGAAGTCAACTGTCATACTAAATTTTTAGATTGGAAGTCAACTGTCATACTAAATAGTCCCATGACATGCTAATTGATCCGGCTAATTTTTGATCTGATCTGCAGATTTTGCAAATCTAGACAACTGTATGTCAGAAATGACTGTCACTGCTAGTAAAATGTGTGACTTTCTTCCCTATACAGAAAATCCTTGTGAGCAGGAGGAAAAAAAATACTGTCTCCTACATATAGTTGCAAAATCAGCTCCACACAAACAGAATTTTTGTAATTTTATTTCCTCACAGTCACCTGAGCAAATGTGTGAGTAATATCTTTCCGTTCATGACACATGTGGAGTATTTGTCACTGAAGCTAGAAAAACAATTAACTGCTGACCTTGTGATTTCAAGTGTGGTATAATATGTCATGTGCTCTAACATCATGACAAACTGATCATGGTTCAACATTTTAAGGAAGAGCAACCCACATAACATGACATTTATATCCAACACAGGGATTCCTCGTCTTACTTGAATTGCAAAATAAGCTGTAGCACAGACAGAATCCTCTTGATTCTGTCTGTGCTACAGAATCAAGAGGTTTTTGTTGTGAGGTTTTTGTTGTGAGTTAATAGGGTTAAACGTTCGTAAGCATACCACTTGATCTGGATGTAAGAGGAACTGTTGTCTTACCATCATATTTACTTTCTTTGTAGCTGCAGAGGCTATTACTGTCAAGCTAAACTTGAACTTCTTTTCTAATGCATGCAACAAGCAGTGGTGGAAAAATAGAACATAAAGAGAAAGTTTAGCAAAAGCATTTTAAAACTGGAATCAGAAAAGTCTTAATTAAGGACTCTGCTTTGGTGATTAGTTACAAATAGGTAAACAGGCAGCTGACATAAACAAATGTAGACATACATAATGTCAAATAAACAAATGCAAGTTTTACAATAATAAAAGGAAAATTGAACATATGCTAAAACTAACATTACTATGTTGTATTTTTTCTACATTTTATGAGGTCCCTTGCAAACCCATTCATTGAACCACTAATGTGCCCACATATGATCTCTAATGTCAGTCTATTTCCTTAGGATGTTTTTTAGAAGAGAAAAAATTATATGATACTGATTTCTAAATTTTTACAAATAATGATTAAATGTGCCATGCATTTTTTTTATAATACTTTGCAGAACCACAATTCATACAGTCAGCTTTGCAAACAAATATGAAAAATATAAATTCTCTACTTGTTTTGTACATCTTGATCCTGAAACTTTGATTGTTCTTTTTAATGTTTAGCAGAATTGGAGAAAACCAGTGAACAGTAGTTTTCAACTCTTACCACAAATTCTCAGTTAGATTTTGGCCATAGCTTAAGCAATGCATATTTCCATTGTAGATATGATGGTACAATTAGGGTTTTTTCTTCCTCTACTTTCCTAAAAGTTTTAACCAGGTTTTCTTACACAATTGTCTACATTCAGCTTGATTCATCTTTTCAATTCTGACCAGCTTTGCTCTCCCTGGTAAAGAAAAAAGCCTCATACTGCCACTACCAGATTTGCAGCATGCAGCATTTTCATGCAGTGTAAAAGTTCACCCTTGATCTCTGGGTACTAGATTTACTGACATATATAATAGAAACAAGTACAATATTTACTCCACTTGAGCTCATGTTGGTATAAAGCAGAGGTCACGGATTAGCAGACCAGGGTCCGGATCTGGACACACCTGCTGGCTAATCAATCTTCTAAACATGGTTTAGAACATTTACAAATTACCGTATGTTGTCTGACAACAGTATCTAACTTTACTTGTGTTGCTTCTCCTGTTAACATGGCTAAAGCTCTCCGGAGCGTCCGGCACCAGGTTGCATGTGATACAAATTACCCAATGAGGTGCGTCAGTCTGGGTTGCTGCTGCTAGCTACTTTTAGACACAGCAGGCAAACCGGTGGCAAGCCGGGCGATGGGGAAGAAGGAAAAGATGAGAAAAAGAAAGCAGAGAAAGTGTGGACTGCTGGAAGTACTGCTGTGAACTGGTGAAAGCAGCATTCTCCACCATCAATATAATAAAAAATAAATATCGATCAAGGCTCACGAATGAGCACCTTGATATGTGCTTGAGAATAGCTTTTCACCATTCAAACCCAGGTTTAAAAATCCTTGCAGGGCAGCGTTAAGTCCACTTCTCTCATTAAGCCATAAAAAAGAAAGAAAAAGAAAAAAAGGTCAGTTCAGATGTTTTATAAAGGATATGAACGTCAGGAAATCGTCTATATACCGAACTGTGAAAGATTGTTTCAAAAAGCACTTTCGATTTTAAAATGGAAAAGTTTTCTATTTTTTTATTTGTTTTTATTAAAAAAGGCAAGGTATAACATGGATGCACAAACACTTGCATTTTATTTCAGTTTTAAATGCTGTTTAAAGTAACAGATTATAATTTTTAACGGCCTTTGACAATCAACTGGTCGTTGATTTTCTTTTTTTCTTTTTAATTGGTTACCCCTGGTATATAACATACAATCTCAACAATTGAGCAAGTTCCAAGTATACGGAAGAAAGAAGGAACAGTTCTTTTCTCTAGTGCTGATGACTTCAGTTAGAAGGAATTTGTCAGATGATGCGGAGTACAGTTTTTTGCATAGTCACCAGTGGGGGGGGTGCGTTCATAGACTTCTGACGTGTAGAGGACGTGACAGTTTTTACATAGGTTGGGTTACTTTCCAAGTATTTTCTGGTTTCTGTGGTGTCTAACTATCCAGCAGCTTTTGCACTTTCTTTTAAGTAGACTGTTCTCTTTTCAGAGGCTGCAGAGGAAACATCCAGAGCCTTTGCAGAGCACACAAGCATTTTTATAACCCATCTTGACACGTTTTGCATTTTAGTTTACCTTAAAATAAGCAAAAGCTTATTTGATCGCTGCTGCACTTTATAAATGAAAAGTTGATCTTCACTGCTAAGCTGCTGCTCATTCACTGCTGGAAAGCTGTATAATAGGATTTTATTTTTGAATACATTTTGTATGTACTTTGTGTATACAAAATTACAATAAAGCTTCTCTAAATCTAAGTCTATTCTGAGAAAGGAATCGTATGTAACGAAATGAGGATGACATCACTGTGTGTTCTTAGTGGTTTCACCTTTACACCTATATTTATTTGTACCTGGTTTAAGTTTCACTTGCTGTTTCAGTATGATTTTCTGTATTTCCTATAACCCTATCTTTTTAATGCAGTTCCCAGAAGTAGTTCAGTAAGAGAACATAGAAAAAAATCAGTGTTTACCCATGCAAAACATTTGGTTATTTATATAAAGCATGAAAAGTTATTAAACAATCTTCAAACTCATGGCAGTAATCGAAAAATAAACATGTGCTGCGTTGACCCAAAGAATAAACATGACGTAATTAGTACTAAATCAAAATTACAATTCATTTTATCTGAGAGGCTTCTTTGTAAACGAAACCAGCTCTGTGCGTGTTCTACATTCCAACCTTTGGTTTTTACACAGTTGTGACATAAGAAGACAAAATAACAGGAGAAAAAAATCAGGAGCAGTGGATGTCTCATCTTTAATCGATTTTAAATTAAAGTAAACTACTTTAAAGCTCACTGATTCGACTCAATTCAGTTTAAAAATTCTTTATTAATCCCAAAGGCAAACTGATTGTTGCAATTGCATTTATGGCTGAAACAACTAATTAAATTAGTTTTGATTAATCGATTATTGAAATAATGGTCAACTAATTTAGTAATCCATTAATCGTTAACTGGAGTATACAGACTGTAAAAAATACCTTTAGCTGACAGACCAACCCACCTAAAGCAGTAATAACCCAAATTGTAAAAAAACATGTAAACATTTTGCATTTAAGATAAAAAAAACAAACAAACAAAAAACACTTTTTTTGTCTGTCAATAAGCTCTATCCAAAACTCCTCAACTGGAAAAGTTTTAGTTTCACCTGATTTAATTTTCTAAAAAAATCTTCTTTAAGGAACCTTTGGCTATCTGTTCATTAATTAATCGAAAATATAAACATAATAATTGATTTGCAAAATAATCCTTAGTTGCAGTCCTAGTTGCATTTAACCCCTCTTCCCAGTAAGCTGCTTCTAATGCCTTGTCCAGAGACCCAGAGTTTCTGTGGTGCTTGAATGGGAAACTTGCAACCTTGCTCCAAATTCAAGAGTCATCAATCCCACAAATCTACTTTCCCATAAAAAGCTGAGGTTGTCTGGGTAAAAACCAGGAATCCTAACCGCTGGATCATATGTGAGATGGAAAAGACATGCAAAGGATGAGGATGTCATGGGTGAGATGGAGGGGGAAAAAAGACACATAAAATAAGAATTTAAAACAAAGTTTAATTTATATAGCAAATATAATGAAATTGGCATAAGTTCAAATGACATTTAAAAGGCGGTCATAGTTGTTGGTAGCAGAGCTATTTGTTCACTCCTGCTTGACATCAGAATGACTTGAAGGTTAGAAATTAATGAAAATTTACTAAAAATATTTTACATGCACTGTAAAAAAGACACCTCTCCGTCTTAATATTTGCAATTTCGGTAAAACGGAATATTTTAGTAATTCTTGCTGGGCTGAAACAGGAAAAGTCTTGTTTAAATTAAGGCCCTCTTAAGTCTTTTGTAATTAAATTAAAAAAGCAAGAGTGATTTCTTTAAGTTTGTACAGACTTTGTTTTGGTTAAAAAATATATTTGATCAGCTTTATGAGTAATTTAGTCCAACTTCTACAGACTTATCCACTGCCAGAAAACATATAAAATGGGGCCCATGACAGGATCCAGTGAAACCAAATATTTTCTTTTTCCATGCTTAGACATGTACTATGTGCTAACAGGTTCCAGACATGCTTCGTTTTGAAAGGTTTCAAAATAAGGGTTGCATGTAAAGACATTCGCTTAGATCATATGTGATGCTTTAACTCCATGAACTCCCAGAAAGGATATTTAAAAGGTGGAGTCTCTTGTTATTAGGGTCTCTGGGTACTTGACAACCCTTAGCTTCAGAAAGAACCTTTAAAAAAGGAAATGGATCCAACCAGCGTGGTGTAAGTTTCCATTATAAGGAAGTGAAAAATAACTAACTATAGAGCAAAGGCCTCATTTATAGGTTATTATTTACGGACATAGGCACAAATCTTCCTTAAAATACGAATCAGTGATGTGATGCAGGGCAGTCGAGCAGGATATACACGTGCGCAAAGCAATTGTGACGAGTTGTAACCACAGTTTCAGTAATGTGATAGCATGATGGTAAAGATAACACAAAGATGTCTGTTAATGGCATTTTGTCATTACTGTGGTAGTTTCAATGATCACGAGAGGAAACAGGTTTTGACATGTTTGCAGGCTAGTTTTAGGAGCCAAGAAGATTACGTGACAACAACAAAAATAAAAACAGCGGTATTACCCGTTTCTCTTTCAAAAACTAAAATAAATATTTTGTCTTCCAACTTTCTTAAAAAATGTTGCATTTCCTGTTAGTTTTGTGCACTGGATGTCACACCAACCACCTAAGACAGGCCTTGACATGTGCTGTTTTATGCAGGGGAACCTTCCGTGCCATGCATGACTTCAAACCATGATGTCTTAGCGTATTACCAACAGTAACCTTTATAACCTTTTCAGGTCATTGAACAGCTTCTCCCATGTAGTTCTGGGCTGATTTCTCACCTTTTTTAGGATCTTTGAGACCCCATGAGGTGAGATCTAGCATGGAGCCCAAGTCCAAGTAAGATTGACAGTCATGTCTAGCTTCTTCCATTTTGTAATGATTGCTAGCACTTCCTAGCCTTTTGGAGGTGTACAATTTTGTCTCTAGTGTATTTGGACAGTTTGGCCATGTTAGTAGTTGGATTCTTACTGATTGTATGGGGTGGACATGTATCTTTATGACGCTAATGACCTCAAACAGGTGCATCTGATTTAGGATAATAAATTGAGAGGAGGTGGACATTTTGAAGGCAGACTACTGTAACAGGTCTTTGAAGGCCAGAATTCTAGCTGATAGACAGGTGTCCAAATACGTATTTGCAGCTGTATCATACAAATAAATAGTAAAAAAAAAAAAATCTACTGTTATTTCTGGATTTTCTTTTTTTACATAATGTCTCTTACAATAGACATGAACCTATGACAACAATTTGAGACCTCTCCATGATTTCTAAGTGGGAGAACTTGCAAAATAGCTGGGTGTTCAAATACTTATTTTCCACACTGTGTATTTTATTTAAATTTCGATAATATAACTAGCTTTGCTGTTTCATTAAGGATTTTTTCATCTGAAGTTCAAAACAAAAACAAAGAAATAAGATTTTATGCACCATTTTACAGAAAAAAAAAACAAACACACACACACACACAAAAAAAGCAATTTTAAGGAAATAAAGTGGATAAGATGCTGATTTTACAATCCAGCCACAAAGTAACTCATCCTATTTACCTAAACATAGATGAGCTGACCTTGATTCAAATCCGTCTCTTATAGCTAACCAGTCTTTGTGGATTTCTTTGCTTAATAATAGCAAAACTCACTCCAAATGCTCCCATGTTGAAATAGAAACTTATATTTTTAATTAGTAACCAATATTATTTTTTATTTATCTGAATAAATCAGAATTAAATCCATGCTAAACATTTCATAAAATTCACAGAGAAACACACATAAGCTTGTTAACCAATCTTTCCTGCAAAAATTAATCTGTTTTGAGGAAAAAATGCATCTTGTAATGTGCTCTGTGGTTTCCCGTAGAAGCCTTTCAATGAAACACACGGAAACTACGCTTGCAGATATTAAGATTCACTGCTTACGAATTTCAGAGAAAGCATCACACATTAGTGTCTACACAACGTTGACTTGTTATTGTTAGCAAAGATGAATGTTTTTCAGATAAAATTAAATTGAAGCAGAAGAAAACAGTCTTTATACTCCACTGCATAAAAGCAACATCAACTGTTTACTGTAACATTAATTTTCTCATGAATTTTGCCACAATGTGGCAACCATTTCCAAGAAGTGAGTATTCTGCGTCAAACAAAATAGAATAATGTGAAAATCCCTAATTGCCTCCAGCCGTTGTTTAATCCAGGAAACTATCAAGATCTATCTGCTATATTAATTTCAACATAAGTTTATTTGTATAGCACATTTCTGTAAAAGGATACTTCAAATTGCGTAACATGGCAAACAAAACTGAGATCAAAAATCAAACAAAAAAAAGTCATATTTCAGAACTGCTTTAAAGTTGTTGATTCTTTTGTCCTATAAACTGGATTTAAAAATAAATAGAAAACTCTTTCTGACGTGAAAAGATTGTTCTAGTCGAGATGAGAAATCAATAGTCACAGTAAGACCCTGATTCATAGATAAACTTGTTAAACATTTGTTTTAAATACTCTTGTTCTTTTCTAAACATGACCAACACAGTGACACACTTTGCTTAGTGTTTCCTATTTATCCAAAAGGATAGATAGATAAATCACAACATCCAGAATTTTATTCCGTTTTTTGTATCTGTAATTGAATATGACTAAATCAGTTTCATAGCTTTGATCGAGCTGCTCTGAATAATCAAGGTCTGATTTTTGTAGAAAGGTTTATGCAGTAATATGTGTGCAGTAAAGCATATACATTAAAGAGGGAAGCAGGGGTATGCAAGCTCATTTATGTTGTAGTTATGAAGCAGATAGAGCAGTTTTAACTCAGACTGGCAACTACTGTAAATGTAGAGTTAGAGCCAACTATTAAATGTCATGTGAAACTGGGAATGCAAAAGCTTTTCCTGCTCAGACTAGATTACTGGTGTTCTGATGTTCTTATAAGCAGAGTTAAAAAAATTTATCTCCAGGATCAAGTATGTATGCTGTTTTGTAGCTGTTAACAAAAAGGTTAAAGCAGTAAATAAAACCAACTACCAGTTTTAGTCTGTCTACCCTGTCTACTTTTAATGTAGCTTCATCTGGTCTGTTCCTGTTTGGCTATGACCTCATCCTGGAGAGAAATAGCTGTGATGCTGCCATCAACACCTTTGTTTATAGATGTTGGAGATCAGTCTGTTTTTCCAGACTGTGACTGGCTGGATGTGCTGTCTTTATCCTCTGACATGGGAGCTGGCTAAGAGCTCGTCTGCCTGGATGTGTTTCCTGGACGGGGCCATCTTTTACAGCTGTTTTTTGTATCTCTGCTTCTGTCTCCTTCTGAACCCCAGTCGGCCTCGGCACACTGACCCTGGTTCTGCTTGAGGTTTCTTACTGTTAAAAGGGAGTTTTTCCTCTCCACTGTCGCTACATACTGGCTTGCAGCGAATCAATGATGCAATAAGCTGATTTCCTCCAATAATAATACATTGAATTGAATTGAATAAAATTTCTCAAATTGCAGATCTTTTGGTTTGAGTCTCTCCAGGTCAAATTAGAAAGTGTTTAAAAGACACAATCCCCTTTTAACTGTCTTTAGGTGCCCTTTGACATTAAACAATTTTCAGCTCTCTGACATCCTGTTGCAGTGTTTTTGTTTTGTAGAACATTTGTCTTTCTTACTCATTTCAACATGATTCACTTCTCCTCCAATGGTTTATTTGGTTCTAAAACATCGGTTCTACATTATGGGTTTGGGTTTTTGAATGCCTGATAAGATCCCTTTGTTGAAGTAACTACACTTTCCATGATCTCAATCACTGCAAATTGATTTAAATACCTTTTCGTTGTTTGGCCATATCGGATTGTTTCATCTCTCTGATTGTTTCAGGCTTTTTTCTGTGTATGATTTTTGCTGATTATAAATAGCTGCATGAAGTTATTTGATCCTGTGTACTTTTTTGAAAATAAATTAGGGCTATTAGATGTGTTATGAATAATTCCTTTCCACGGAAAGGGAAGTTTATCATTAGGATTTGTTTGTATCCGTGGTTATAAATCCATTATTTATGTTTGCAGAATGCCGAGAATGAGTCCCAGTGGGTTGAAGACATGCTGAAGCACCACACAGCTCGAGTTCGGGATGTGGAGATCTTAACGGGCCTGGACCTTTACAGATCCACCAACCTCACCTATACCAGCATCCTGGGCCTCAAAACCTACATGAACACCTTTGAGAATGATGACTAGACTAAGAAACTCAGACACAGATGCACAGAATGTCATGACAGCCCTGTATTATCTCTGCATGCTCGCTGAAGTATACTTATTTTGCTTCAAAGGAACTGTTTAAGAAGAGCTTTAACATGGGGGTACATTTCTGGTAATTAATAAAAAAGACCTTTCTCTAACATAATGCATATTGAAACTGAAGACAGTAAGGTTTTAGCAAAGATTAGTAACACTAAGCCTTAAACAAGATCTTATCATGGAGGCAGACTTCATGAGCAACTGAAACAAAAAATTGCTTCTGATGTTACGCATGAATTGAAACAGAAAGAGCGCACCTAACCCTGTAATCTATATGCAATTAAAGAGATCCTCCTATTAACTGAAAAGCACATAAGCTCAGACATATTGTATTTTCCCAGTGATTGTAAAAGCAAAAGCAAATCACATCTTGTGAAAAAAAATGCTATAATTTGGATATACAACCAAAAGAATTCATGCTTACCTCCCTTAAAATGCTTACAGAAGCACCGAAGTATGCCACATAATGCAAAAAATTATAATTTGTCTGCATACTGAATCTAACCCCATATAATACTCTGGTACCAATGCTGGGTCAACCAAAGCTAACCATATCTTTACTTTTTTGCTCAACATTTATAAAATATAGAACTGTTCAAAACATAAAAAAACTAATTCAACCAAAAATATTTCTTACTGTTAATCATCCTTTTATTTTTGCATCATAAGTAAATTAAGTTACCCTATTTAGCTTTAAAAAGGTTAAAATACAAACCTTTATCCTCCACCAATACAAGCTCCTTGGCTGTTTTAAAGAGATCTTTGGCTTAAAAAAATTGTATAAATACAACCTAGTAGAGTCAGTTAAACAGGATCACAAAATCATTTTATTTTATTTCAAAAAATCCTTTGCATGCACACATAATTGTGCACAGTGTCACAAACATCATCCAAATTACTCGCTATCTTTACTTGTATACAATTTATTGATTGGATTAGAATGTATTCAGATTGAAAAACAAATTCCGTAAAAATTCAAAAAATATCCACTGGACTTGGTTTCCAAGATTTGAAGACGTTTCGCCACCTGCAGGAAGCTTTCTCAATTCGAATTAAAAAAGCTTCCTGGAGAGGTGGCGAAACGTCTTCAAATCTTGGAAACCAAGTCCAGTGGATATTTTTTGAATTTTTACGGAATGACTATGACCTGGATGACTGAGAACCTTCATCAGCATTGAAAAACAAAATAACTAATCAGATTATACTGTATATATGACCATAAGTAATCGGAAAAAAAACACCTGATCAGACTGCAAACATGCAATGTGAAAATGTCAGATGGAATATGCTGACATAGCGTCTAGTGACTCAAAGCAGAAATGCATAACCTTTCACATGCTCACTCAGGTCTATTGTCTTCATTTCCTCTCAGTTGGATAACAATTTTATTCCAATCCTGTGAATACAATTAGAATATTCAGACTGCTCTTTACATTACATATTTTCAGTTCAATACCTTTATTTTAGTTAGTGTCCATGTAAACGTAACTACGTAGAAGTAAAAACCTATTTTTTTCTCTTTTAGTTGACTTAATCAAAATAAGGGATACAGGAATTCAAAATGGCAAATAGCCCAGACTAAGGTGTTATGGCGAGATGGACATTTACATACTATTGATAAACTTTAGGGAGAAAATTTGTTGAATATGATTTGAACTGGGGTTTAGTGGTGTCATGCAGATTTCAGATTCTCTGTCATATCAAGGATTGCTTAGTCTTTGACCCAAAGCGTCAAAAGCACTTGTCTGATGTTGCATTTGTTGTCAGTTTATTTGTCTTATTGAACTGACAGCATTTATACTCTTAACTGTGTACAGATAAAGAGTCACAACATTTTACATTTTTTTCATTTAATTTGATGGCATTATAATCATGAGTTAACAATATTGACATACATAATCTGTAGAATAGAAAATGTGACTGACTTTAAGAGCTTAAGTTGAAAACAAACCGTTTTTTTGTTTGTCTAGTCTTTTAAATAAAACCCATGTAGATCAGAAAAAAAAAGAATATTGGGAGTGGAACTCAGTTGTTTTTTAGTATGCACATTTTCTACATGAAAATGACACTTTTTGCAATGAAGTGCTTATTTTTTCTTCATATGTACTGATGCATGCTTATGTGACTTCAGTATTCCACTATAAAGCCATGTTGGGTCCTCTTCCAAAAGTGATTTTCCCAGAAAGAAAATGTACAGTACAGTGATTCCCTGTGACATAAAGGTTATACTGAAAAACATTCCCATTTGCTCGGGTTGCTCTGTCATTTAACTCCTGTGTACGCATTCCTGTGTTGGTACTTTAGATAGTTAGTGCAACATAACAGAATTACATTATTAATTGGGTTAAATTTAACTTTATGCAGTTCACAGTATATTGAAAGCTTCTGAAAGCCAGCTGGAACTTGGACTAAAATCCACTAAATTGTCAGCATCCATTAAGTGGTTTACAACTGCATCTCCTCTCTCCAACCATACAGCCAGTTCTACACTGATTTATTGCTAAGAAAGGTCATTCATAAAAAAATAATGAACAATGTAGGAAAGAGGGTGTGTCCTTGTCTGACTTCACTACTGACATTGGAGGATGCAGATACACAGATGTCCTACGTGCATGGTTTGATTGGCATACAATAAAGACATCTTACTATATATCATACTGTACGATACCAAGATTTTTATAAAGCACTTTAAACACCCAACAGGACCAAAGTGCTATACACAATCATAAGCTACAAATGGTCAATCATGAAACCATAAAGTGGTATATAAAAGTAATAATATAATAAAATCAGTAATAAAACAATAAATGAAACACAGTAAGACAAAGTCAACAGTTTGTGTCAAAATATATTTAGACAAAGCAGCTTGACTTAATGTTAGACTATGTTTTCTTTGGTTTATCCTGCCAAAGGCCTTTTGTAGAGTGCTTATTATTATAGTTACTCTATATAGTTAATATTTCCTTTAGACCATATATACGCAGCTGGATGCCATTTTTAGACTTAACCCAAATTGAATGTATGCAGCCATTACATTTTAATCAATTGATTTTACCTTCTTGAAAAATTTTTGTCATCTTTACCTACCCTTTTTGTGCAAAATCAGCCCTTATGGTTTGCTCATTCTTTTATTCGAATGGTATGGCATATTTCTATTGTACCTTTGTCAACTTTGAGTTCAAATATAGGACCTGGTCCAGCTTAACCCATTAAAGTCGAAGTAGTAGCAGCTTTCCAGTCTGTAGAGTGTTGTTGAGTTATATATATTTTTCAACCAGGCCTAATTTGATCACAATACTACTTTTAATGCCTTAAGTATATCAGGTAAAAAAAAATGGGATATGTCGATTTTCTGTCAGATATTTGACCATTTGCAGACCTTGCATGCATTTAACTATCTTGGCAATGTAACATTTTTGTTTGTTTCTCCCATTTATCCTCCTCCTGTTTAGTCACTCTTGGCTGGTTTGTCATCATTTCTTTGCCCCCTTCTTGTTGTGAGTATTCCTGGTTTTCAGCATTTTTTGGTTTTTGTGGATTTATGTTTTTGGATTTTGCTTCTGTTGTACTTTTGGTATTAAATCTCCAAGAAACCACTTCAGCCTCGGTCTGCATTTAGGTCCTGTCAAACTCCCATCCCACTGTGACAATACAAACCAGCTAAGAGTGACTGAACAGGGGGAGAATAAATGGGAGAGAGAAACAAAGACCAGGCTGATTAGCAGATTGGAAGCAGGTGTGAACAGAGGACGCAAGAAGGGAGCTAGGGAGAAGGAGACTGACACAAGAGGGCAAACAAGTAATATCTAAGAACTCAAATACAATCAAAAATAACTAGAACACAATATGGAAATAAGAGCAAAGAAAACTCATGACAACCATTTAGGGTTGGGAATTGAAAAGATTTTCACGATTCCGATTCCCTTTTCGATTCTATGAAACGATTCGATTCTTAATCGATTCTTTTTTCGATTCCAATTTGGGGGAAAAAGGAGAACAAACAGTTTGATTATCAGAATCAACTTTGTTTACTTAACTATTGCACAATCTTACAAACTCAAAAAGATCAAGATGTCCACAGGAAATGTGAAACTGGAGTAACATCTGTGTTTAAATGAAAAATGAATACAAGAACAAACTTAATAACCAACAATGTCTAATAACAAATGATGGGATAATAACCTATTTTAAATAACAAAAAATACTAATTATAAAACAGTAGTAGGGAAAATTAACAGTTCTTTTGCAGAAAGATGAGCATATCTGCTTTTTCTGGAAGGATACGGGATCTTTCAGCGCTTATGGTGTCTCCAGCCGTGGAGAACACCCTCTCAGATGGGGTGGAGGAAGCCTGCACACAGAGGTAGTTTTCAGCCAGTCCAGATAGCAAGGGCAGCGTATCTTGCTTGTTCCACCACCACAGTGTGGCGCTATCCCTGCAGGGGATGGAGGGCAAGCTTTTATAGAGCTGGATTTCCTGATCTACCCTCTGGGCTAAGGAAAGACGGGGCTTTGATTCACAAAGTGACCGCAGCTCGTTGTCTTCCTCCTCGAATAGTTCTTCCAACTTGCGTAACTTGCGTAACTTGCGTAAGTTGCGTAACTTACGTAAAAAACGTGACGTAAGTCGTGCTCCCCAGAGCCGGCGCTCTCGGCTCTGGTGCTGCGGGAATCGAAAAAAGAATCATTCAGCGAGCTGCCAAACGATGCCATGGAATCGAAAAATACGGAACCGGTTCTGAACAGGAACCGGTTTTCGATTCCCATCCCTACAACCATTCAACCAAAACCATAAACTATTATGTACTAGTGAGTCAATACAAGGGGAAATAGAAGTAAAATAAGCTATTTTTTACTTATGTTGTCCTATAGGCAAGAAGATACAGTACATAAATATGTTTATAGAAAAACATAAGTTTTGCCAAAACATATAGTTTTATTTTGGGATTTTTCCTGTCAGTATAAATGCTAAAATGAAAAAGAAAATGGTGTTTCGTCTGTATTAGCTAAGGGGTAAGTTAAGCCACAAAAGCTTAAACGTGTTGTTAATCCAGTCTAGTACAGAGAGGATGGTTGGAATCCCATATGTGCAAGATTCAACTTTACACTTGCACCTCAAGAACAGAAGACACCCCCTTGACAACCAAAATGTTCAGATTTTGGACAGAGAGGACAGATGGTTTAAAAAGAGGGGTGAATTAAGCCATCTTTACTGAAAAGGAAAAAACAACACTGAACAAAAATCTACAATTCAGTCCTGGAACTCATGTCAAAGAAATAACATTAAGACATTCATTTTGATTCAAAAACCGAAAGGCTGTCCTTAGTGCTTAGGAATGTGCCAAATTACCTATGTAAAAGTGGTTTTCACCACTGCATTACAATATATGCATATTACCTGATATGTGTATGTTGCAGGGTGAGATGTTACTAAAACAGGCTGATTTTAAACAAATTTTACCACTATAAAATCTCAAACTGTTATTTTTAGCATCCTTATAACTTCTCCCACTTGTTTTTGGACTGTTGGATGAAGCCGATGTACCCTGAAAGAACTTGCACATGCACTGGGAGAACATGCATACTCGATGCAGAAAGACCCAAGGACAGAAAGG